AGATTTGGTAGTTTTAGAATATCTAAGCAATGCACTGGTGAAATTGTAAAACATATGCAGAAATTGAGTAAATCGCTGCATTTGAGGTCATTTATACTGCCTAAAATACTCTGAGAAGGTAGTTAGCATAAGTTTTAGTGGTGTAGCACTTTAATCTGTGATTCAGATATGAACTTTGCAATTTTTTAAAAATTTGTGCTTAATCAAATTACATGGTACATTTTGGCAGTACATCTTAAAAAATAATGGTAGGTTGTAACATTCTAGGACCAGTAATGGGCCTTTCAAGTAAAAGGCTTGTCTTGGCTCTGTGAAACAAAAGTGAAGTAAAATATAGTTTAGAGTGCCTTAAATTCCATTGCGTCTGATGTAGAAATACAGGTGAAACAAAACTGCTAACAGTACTTTAGGGAATATAAGTTAGCAGAGAAATGTTGAATATTCACATTACCATACTTAGATTAAATGACTACTGTAGGCAGTTGTCTGTCAAAACTCTTTTCATTTGCTTTCTCAGTAATTCACTTTAACAGATGAGTGGTTTCATTATTGCAGTGCTTTTTGCTTATGAGTCCTGAAGAATAACTGATGTAGATTTCAGTAATTGTTCCTAAGTAATTCTACACAGTACACCTATGATTTCTAGATTTCAGGACTTGCTTTTTGTTTGTTTTACTTTTGTTTTTTGTTTTGTTTTTCTCTTTTAAAAAATAAACCTGCAAGTTTAGACCTTTTGGAACATTTAGATCAGTTATTCTAATTGAATTACATTTACATAACAGTACACTATAAAAAGGATCTGTATAAAACCAATTACTAGTCCACCTTGGCACAGAACTGGGATGCTCTAAAAACACTTGTGTTTAAAATAAATAAATGGTGGGCCCTCCCTGGTGGTGCATTGGGCTAGAATGCAGCACTATAAACTGGCTGCAGCCACTTCAGTGTGAGTTTGATCCCTGGTTCCAGAGGTGACCCAGATGGCAAGGCAGACCTCTCCTGTCTCGCCTGCTGCTCCCCTCAGCAGTATACTTCATTGATCTGCCTGTTCTTATCTCCACTCTGTCTCTGGTGAAGACTCTCACTGCCCCTGCTTCTCTGGCTTATCCCCTAGTTCTATATGAATAAATACATCTTAAAAAAATAATAATAATTAAAAAGAATAAAATAAAACAGAAACTTTCTGTGCTTGATACACTTAAAATAACACTGACATGACATTTGAATTTATAAATAATAGAAAAATACATTCAACTCAAATTTAATAAAAATAGGTAATTCTTTCCTTATACCTAAATGAGTGGCCAGTGATAGGGAGAAGTCTTATTTTGGCATCCTTATAGTTAATTATAGTTAGGACTTGTAGAGTCCTTTCTAGCAAGACTTTAAACTTCGGCAGCAGATGGATATATTTTATGTCAAGTTACTTAGTTTTTGAAACTAATAATACCTGCCTTTCAGTTTTGTTATCAGCACATTACATTTATTCTGCAAGAGTACTTATATTTTAAAAGACCACTACAAGAATATTCTTTTATTTGGGGGAAGGAGGTATTCACAAAAATATACAAATATTTTTGTCAGTGATGAGCCAAGAATTAGGGATTAGATGTGGTGATTGATTTAATGAGTAGAATTTTGAAGAGAAGTTTTTGTATTTTAATACTGAGGTGTTTGCAGTTAGAATTCAAAGTGACTATATCTTTTTATTCAAAATATTAGGGTATACAGCAACTGTGAATTTGTTTAAATGAAAAATGCTTTTATACACAAAGGTGCTTTTCTGCTTAGAATCTTAAATTACTATTAATTAAGCACTATATAATATAATAGATAATTTAGTGTTTTAATGTGGATGCCAGTAGATTTGCTAGTCTTTCTAAATGACTATTGTTGGCTAATAGTCTTCAGGGTATCATTTATATGGCCATTGTGGTTCTAAAAATATCTCTAAATACCAATGGGACAGCCTTTTTAAAGCGTGGCTATTATAAAATGCACTTTTATTTGAACTGTGTCATTTTGATTATATCACTCAATTACTTACATGTGAAGCAAGAAAATAACCAATGCTGAAAAAAATAAAGCAAAGCTTATATAGAGGAAATTTTCTGAACAATTTCATATTTATATAAAGAGATACTTGAATTAGGAGTACTGGGAATCTGTACTGTTCATTAGGATTTTAACTGGAGATGTTTTTATGTTGTCTCTTTGATTTTGTTTTAATTAATATTTCTATGGCATAGAGGCAGTTAGGTAACTGCCGTTGAATATTAAATATGGTGGTAGCTTAGGGGGAAATAAGCATTTCTGGGTCAAAGCCCTTAACAGTATTATCATATGTGAGCTGATTAATTGAATTGAATGCCAAATGGTTTTGCCACCATCCATCCAGACACTTCATAGTCACTAAGTTCATTATATAAGGCTGTTCCAGAATGGAATGCCAGGTTATGTCAAAGTTAATGGTGTGGTTTTTAATCTTAGCTACTAATGCAGCAAATCTTGATTAGAGAATAGTTCCAACCTCATTAAATTAACTAAGTGTAAGAATATTCCAAAGATTCTGAAGCTGAATGTCACAGCAAGCATTTTAAATGTTGAATGTGTGAGGTTCTTTGTGCTGTCACTCAGAAGTCTCTGAATTGTTGATTCTGATCTGCAAGGGTCCACTTAAAACCCTAAAATAGATGCTAAGCTACTCTCCAGTTCTTTCAGCATGTATCTAGCATTGAATGCAAAAAAGACTCAATTTCTCATCAGATCAGAGAAGTTGAGAATTTTCATCAACCCTGTGTAGTACAGAGAAAAGTTAGCATTTATAAATATAGCTGTTGAATAAAGTGACAGTTTTCCAAGTTGTATTACAAAGTATCTTAGGACTCAGACTTTATGCCACTGTTTAACTATTTTAAAAACTGCATAAAGTATCAAATGTATATACCAAAATTTTCTTTCGGATGGTCAGTGATTAATTTGTGCTGCCAGCTGAATTAGTTTGGGGCAGATTATTATTACTATCATCATCATCATTATTACTATTATTATTATTTTGCTCTTCCATGTATGTACACATTCCATTTAGCCTCTAAGAAACTACCCATGCTCATAACCCTCCTGCCTTCCTCAGGGGCAGATAAAATTTATGCGTTTTGGTACATATATTTGGAACTTCTGATAGAAAAGTCTTAGCTCTTCCTATACATGCAGGCTACGTGAGTTCACTCACATTTAATTGTACAACTAGTCACATTCCCACAGTCTACTTGTACAGAACTAAAGTATATGCTCAGCAAGTTCCATTCTTATCTCTCCCAGAGCTTGTTTTTACCATACAGGAACAAGTTAGACCAGTGACTGTTAACATACTGCAGCTTGATACACCGTTGCAGGTTTAGGTTTAGTTTACTTTTCAGATGACAGTTGTCACATTCACTTTTTAATAAGTAATACTGTTATTTATCATAAGTAAACAGTGCTATTCTTCATAACACCTTTGGCTCACTTGAATTAAGGATATTTTGCTATTAGAAAACAGCTTTTAAAAAATTACTATTTGCAACCACTTACAGGCATGGATCAGGATGATCCTGATATTCTGCAACCAAACTAAATATAGAGATAAATTAACCCCTACAGTGATACAACACTGAGGATGTCATTTACATCTCAGAGGTGTATGTTGAGAAACACAATATCTTGCTGTTTCAAATTGATCAACTTTAAAATAAATGTTACTGATTATTTTTTAAAAATCTGCAATTTTTAGATTCTTCAACATACAGTTGTAGAGTTCTATCTCGGGCAATCATTTCTACTTACACATTTATGGTGGCAGACTTTGGCCGGTATAAAAGCTGTTGAGTATGCAAGCTCATTATTGTTGCAATTTATCACTATTTCAAATAGCTAAATACTTTATATCTTTAAAATGTAAGAGATATGGCCCTCCCTGGTGGCGCAGCGGGTTAAAGCACTGCCCTAAGAAGCTAAAAGCCACTTCCGAATGAGTTTGATCCCCACCTGCCCCGGAGGTGACCACATGGCGAGGCAGACCTCTCCTGACCCTCCCGCTGCTCCCCTCAGCAGTGTACTTCATCTATCTGCCTGTTCTGCTCCCCGCTCTGTGTGTGGTGAATCCTTTCACCGTCCCTGTACTTTTGGCCTGTACCCCAGTTCTATATGCATAAATAAATAAATCTTTAAAAAATGTAAGAGATATGAAATTAAAGCATGGTAAAAATGGATTTTAAATTAAGAAGCTTAGACAAGATAAGGAGATATTACAGAAAAATCTCTGAGTTCTGAATATATTCTTTTCTATCATTTTGGAAATTGCATTCAAGGCCAGAGTTTGTTTAGCAATTCCCATTCAAGGCAAAGAGGCAATAAAATGAACGTGGTTTTGTTAGTTGAAGGGGTAGAATAGGAATCTGGAAGAAATATGTTGTGATGCATATTTACACCTGTGTCTGTTTTTAACTGTACTCAACTCTTTCATAGCAGCAAAAAAATCTCTCACCACTTACCCAATGATTTGCGAGATATTGGAACCTCACGTGTGTCCTCTGGGTTTTATTATCCATTGTTCTTGCCCTAGAGTTGTGCAGATAACTTTAGAGAGCCTCAGCTTGCTAGAACATGCAGACTGTATTCATTGAATGACTAGAGTAGATACTTCAAAAATCCTATAAAATTTATTTCTAGAAGCATAGTATTTGTGTATTAGTTTTCCATATCACCTTCAAATAAAAATATAAATGCTGTCTTAGGATCAGTAAGATGGCAAGCATTGTAGGTTTAGAGAACTTTCTGACCAAAAACACCTCACTGCTTGAGGTATTCTCTATAAGAATATCTTTATTTCTAATAATGCTGCTAAAGTTCTGTTCAAACCCCCCCCCTTACTCCCACCACCATTTACCCTGTTTTTGTGGAGCAGCTGCCCTTCTTATTACCTTTTTGTTGACCTTGTGTTTGTTTTGTTGTCTTTGCAGAGACCCTCCTTGATGACTTCCTCCTCACATATACAGTCTTCATGACAACTGACGACTTGTGCCAGGCGCTGCTAAGGCAATATCCTTCATTACCTGTGGAACACAGCATTGGCCTCCTCTCAGACTGATGCGTCACATTAGGAATTAAGTGCCTTTCTTAATTTACTCAACCCAAGGCAGAGCATGCATATGTTAAATATTAATGTAATGATATCCAAAATAAAAGATGAAATGAGACAGAGTAGATGAGGGAACTGGAATTTCAGAGCTGCTGCTTTAGCGTTTATGAGTCCATTGTACTGTTATATTGTGTTGTCTCAAGAATTTAGACATCAAGGGGTAGGTAAACTGGTTTCCTAGGTAAACCCCAGAGTCAGGACCCCAGAGTTAACATGCAAAGTGAACTTAGTTACAAGACAGCCAGTCACTGATTGCCAGACTGATTATACAGCAAAATGTGTACATATGTGATATCCTATTTCTGGGCCAGTGTCCCAGGGAAGATGAGCCATTTCCCTGCATGGGAGGTCTACACTGCATACTGGAATCAACTCTCATCTTCTCAGAACTTTGTCACAACTTGCTTTCTTAGAATGAAGGACGTTGATTAGAAGGTTAATGATCAGTTAAAGAAGCTTTGTGATTTTATTCACTAACTAGATGAGGTGCAGCACAGAAACACTGAAAGGCCAGAGAAGTTAAGCCCAGTGATGCACACAAAGTCTCCGAGTGGGCTATGTGCCTCATAGTGTTTAAGAAGCTGCAGCAGAGGCAGTTCAATAACTGTTGACTTCAAGATTTTATTCAACCAAACTGGAAAAGATTTCATTCTAGCCTTCAAAAAAATAAATTATTTTTATTCATTTTAAAACAATACCTTTAAATTCTAAATAGGGCATAACAAACATAAAATAAACTAATAAACTAATAAGAATTAGTTTATTAAACTCATTCTGGAGCATTATTAGTTGGTTTTGAATTTGGAAGATTTCAGTGACAAATTTTTGTCACAGCTTACAAGTGGACTGTTAGCTACCATAAAATTTACTGATAATTACAAGGTTTTCAATTTCTTTCTTTAGAAGTATTTTGAAAAGCTAAGTATGAGCTAAGGAATCTTCCTCTATGACTATATATGTATATTTTTAGATACTGCCTTTTACGAAATATTATAAACCACAAACAAGAAGAAGACATTCATATTTAATTTGAGATTTTTTTTGTGTGTGTACATCTAAGTCAAGATATCTCTCATATCCCAGTACTGTCAGTTTCTAAGGGGTGGCACAAATTATTTTTTGTTGTCTTTCTGTCATTGTTTTTAAACGTTATTTATAGATTAGAGTCATTTATGTTGTGTTTGGAGATCTGAGATGGATATTTTTATTGCAGTGTAATTTAATTCATTTGCACTTTTACCATCATAAATAGCATTATTTAGCTCACAGCCCTAGATTGGCTAATGTTCAGTGCATTACATTGAAGTTATAACTCTTACCTAATGTCCTTCCTCAATTCCCTTCCCCCAACTAAATGTCCAAATCAATAGACTCTAGCATGGGCAAAATGCAAGGGAATGAATATATCCAATACTGAAAACCAGAATAATATAAATGCAAATTTAATTATGTAATATTTTTCTAATGTATTTTATAAGGAAGAAAACAAAATTAAAACAAATAAATGGCAGTAACTAAGTGGAAAAGAGTAGTGGAAGCTTCAGACACTGAAGTTGCTTTATTCTGCAGGTTCATCATGATAGAATTGTACGTGCAGTTTTAATAGAAAGCTCATATACTGACCTACAAGAAGTTGATAATATTGCTGAATTTTCCAGATTTTTTCTTTATTTTAATGAAGTATTATATTCACAAAAATTTGCATAAATGGAAATTATATAGGAGAAATCCATGTATTTTCCTTTGATATGGAAAAACTTTAGCAAATGTGTGTCTTTGCCTGAATTTATGTCACATGTGGAAATCAAAGAAATCGGCTGGCTCTAGTGTATTTTTGCAGTGAGGGAAGAAAGTGGCTGAATTATATTTTAAAATGCCCACAAAGCCTAATGTAGAATCTATTCCTACTTTACAGTTATATGTCAGTGATAAAGAATATAGAATCCTGTCCAAACAAGCCCAAAACCTACTTGTATTTGGTATCATAGCATTTCCTTTTCCTAGTTAACTTTTAATGTGTCCTAGATACTGAGAAATGATAGTTTTTCAGGACAAAACACTTAATCACTTTGGAAAATGCCAGACTTCTGTGTCATTCTTTTGACTTTAAACACATTGTCTTTAAGGCCGTTATTTTTACTTAATTTTAACAACATTAACACATAGTCAATATATGCAAGTTGAGAAATGCACATAAGTGTGAGAAAAAATATTTGTGTATTCTAAAATCTCACTAGCTTAAGAAGCCCTGGTTATCTTGTAGTATATATTTTTCCAGATAATGAAATTATTACATATAAATAAGCATCATTAATATAAATGGATCATCTCAACAACCTTTCTTCTTTCCTGTTCAACAATATACTGTAAATGTTCCATATCAGTAAATGTACTGCTGGATCCTTACTTTAATGATTACAGACTGGTCCATTAAATGGATATATAATGATTTTGGTAACTGGACACAGTGGTTGAAAACATGTAGGTTTTTTTTTTTAATATTTCAATGGAAGTAAAAATCCATTGTCCTTTATACCTACATTTGAATGTTTATTCAATCCTCGTTTTCAAGTCAATTTCTGGGAGTCATCATTTGGGTCATATCATAAATTATGCTTTAGAAATCTGCTCATTTGGGGCGACTTTAGAAGTAACTGGCTTTACAGAACACAATTTCCTGAGAAACAAAGGTTATTTGCTATAGTTCTATTCTAACTTTTATGGAAATAGTGTCCACCTAGGTAGTGAGGCCTGATTTTCTCTTGAAATGAACGGTCACCACCCTTAAAATGAACATTCCTCCTGGTGTGCCAAGACATCAGGAGGAGGGGTGTCCATGCCACCGCCCATACATTGCCACAGTGAGTGCTGTCACCCAACCTCTTTCTTCATGGCTGCCCTCCAGTGTGCGTGAATCATTTCCCTGGGTTCACTTGTGCTCTGTTGAGTGAACACCTTTTAATCTTCCTGAACATATTATTTTCTATTAAGGCTTAGATACTTGATTATTTTGGAAAATATCCTTTAGCATATTTTGTAGAAACAAGAAAAAGTGGATCTCTTCCTTTTTATTTTAATTTTCAACAATATAATATTCTTTCTTAACCATTTGTACCTATTCTGCTAAGAAGTATCAAGGCAAAGAAGAAAACTCAGATGTTCCTTGTCGGAAGCGTAAAGTCTTGCATCTTGTTTCCCAGTGGATTGCTCTGTACAAGGACTGGTTACATGAAGATGAGCATTCAAAAATGTTTCTAAAGGTAATTAATATTCCCACATAGTCTCTAATGACAGCGACTGTTTTTATTTCAGGTATATATTTCAATAATCTCATTTGTAGGTTGCAGTCATTCATATTTTTTATAAAAGAATATATAAATTTATTTTGATGTCTGAGACCTGATATTTGTATATAGAATTTTATTTTAAAAATTAAACTAATTTAAGATTATAAGTCATGGGAATTTTGATTGTAAATGAAATAAGAAAGGTAAAATTAAATGTACTTTAAAATTTGGTGATATTTAATCTTTTGACAATATATGTTTATCTAAGAAGTCCCATATACATAATATTTGGATAAAACATTTATTTAAAGATATATATGTATTGGGCCCTCCCTGGTGGCGCAACAGATAGCAGGTTAAAGCACAGCACTGCAAAGCTAAAGCCACTTTAGCATAAGTTCGATCCCTGGCCCTGGAGGTGACCCACGTGGTGTGGCAGACCTCCCCTCTCTCACCTGCTGCTCCCCTCAGCAGTGTATTTCAATTAATCTGCCTGCTCTACTCCCCGCTCTGTCTCTGGTGAAGCCTCTCACCACCCCTGCACCTCTGGTCTGTACCCCAGTTCTGTATGCATAAATAAATAAATCTTTAAAAAAAAAAGATACATATATTATGTATTGACAATATGTATTATGTAACTTTTCAGGACATGATATATAGTTTGAGAGTTTTGAGCTGTTAACTTATAAAATTGTTACTAACCTAGATTTGCATTTGAGGTTAAATAAACCGATATATTTTTCTAATATTAGTAATAGATTGAAATGTCTTCTCAATACAGATGATTCTCTGCACATAAGTTATAGTAGGATTCTTTTGGCCATCAAAACCGTAATATAGTGCAAATTAACACAAAGGAGGAATAGAATAATTCAAGAAAGGAGTTGTATTTCAGAAGAGGCAATTGCCTCAAACAAGTTTGCCATGTATGAAGAATACCACGTTGAACTCCAAATTCAGGTGTCATTCAGATGCCAAGTTCAAACCTGGTTTAACCAACTCTTGACTAATGTTATTGTCAAAACGTTTGGGTAATTTAATTCAATTTTTTATTTTCCCCAAATTATAAATATAGATATTATCTTTCTTAAAATACAGAATAAGCATGGTAGCCAGGCAGGGATTTCTAAGCTTCCAACATAGCCAGTCTGTAGCCCCTAAAAGATGTAAGGTCCCATGCCAGTTAAGTGAGGATTAGAAGGTGGAATGCCACTCAGGATCTCATTGGTACAAGGGTTGACCACCTACATTGTCCTGGATTCCTCCTAATCTTCCTGGTGGGATAACCTTTATCTGAATCTTAAGACTTACAAAATAGACAAAAAACAAACTCATCTGCCATTTTTCTTTTTCCTCCAGACCATATACAGAAATGTATTGGATGATGTATATGAATATCCAATACTTGAAAAAGAACTGAAAGAATTTCAAAAGATTCTTGGAATGCACCGACGTCAGTAAGTACTTAATTTTCCTTATTACAGCTAATGCATGAAATAGAAGCAAATGTGCTAGAAACTTGCGGGCATCTTGATACATATAGTGCATTATAAACATTTTTATTGTAAATATTTGTCTTTTAGGAAGCTCATAGCTATTTCTAATGGAATGGGAAATAAGTGGCTCCCCACAAGTCATAGAACACTTTAAAGTTCAATTTTAAGTATTCTTTGAGATTTCTTTATAAATTTAGAAAGATTATGGAAAACCATTTACTCACTGACTTTTGACATAAACAGATAGCCCCAGTGAATTTATCGTTAATCTTTCCAGTTAGCAATGTATGACCTTACTGTGATTTATCCCTATACGTTTTAGTAAATGAAAATATCAAATCATAATGCAGTTTTCAGACATAGCTACAAAGTTAATCTGAAGAAAAAAGTTATCATCTGACTTACAATGTTTCTACTTAGTAAACATGAAACATCTGTTGTCAGCTTGTTGAGAACTTCTGCTAAGATTTCAGCAGTCACAGAGGCACTATTCAGAGAAAATGATAATTTGGGCTTATCAGACTAGGAAAGAGAGAGCCTGTTACAAATTAATTGTCTGTGTAAATTAATTTTAGAAAGCAAATAATCATGTAAACTTTAGTCCTCAGTCATGAAAATCTCAATTTTTAGAAATTCAAAAATGAGATACAATTTAGGACAACATTTTAAAAGTACCTGTGGTGAGTTTGGATAGTCTTTTATTATAGTCTATGCTATAGCCTAAGACTACTCTGAAAATATGAACAAATACGTTTCAAAAAGAAAATCTTAACATAAATTAACTCCCCTCATGGAGGTTACTGTGCCCTAAGGCAGACTTTTTACCGTTGGTACACTTTAATTCATGTTTAATACATTTGTTTGCATTAAACACAGTAATGGGACCTAATATAGCCCCATGTCAAAAACTTATATAACATTGAAAGTAAGATTAAAATGAGAAAATGATATTAGGATATTATTGTTGTCACTTTGATCTAAGGTTATGAAATATCCCTAGGTTCTGGAATAAACTGTGAACCCCAAGTATTTTTCCTCTACCTTACTGTGCTAATTGAGGGGAAAGTGTTTCTGAGAACAAGATTGATGTCTTTGACTGTGGTTTTCCTAATGACACGTGAAATTGGCTGCAACGCTGATTCCTTCTGGTGGCCTCAGATGGTACCTGTCAGGGGGTAGTGATGGAGTAAGATGAGAGGGGGACCTACAGACTTCTCCCACACATGGAGACATTATGGAAAATATGCACCTTGGCTGACTTATGTAGATATCTGAATGACAATAATGCCACTTAAAATCTATCAGTGTATGAGAAAATAAAGTGAATAAATCCATTTCCTTCCTGGACTTGGGTAGAAAGCAAAACACACCTGTTGAGTAGATAGCTTCTTTTCATCCTGGTTCACCTGAAATCCAGAGCCCAGTGTCAAATGTAGTATATATAATAAACTGATGAGTGCTGTTTTAACTGTTAGAAACGCAAAACCTCTGCCCAGTGTAGAAGACTAAAAATTAGTCCTCTGTAACAATAACTGCATTATTCTGGGGTTGAGACAAAGCCTGACGTCTTGTCTTCTTGCTTTCAGCACTGTAGATGAATATTCACCACAAAAGAAGGTAAGGCAGACCCTTCTGTGGCTGAATGGGATGGGTGTTAAGTCTGGAGACTTTGTCTTGCCTCACTTAGCATTTGTTCATAGTTAAAATGAATAATCCCACAAGTAGCAAAGGGCAAGGCCAGGAAGCCTAGGGCTGCGGCTTCCCTGCTTCGCCACTGCTTCCCTGTGCTGGTGTGGCCTGGTATTCAGCCATGTGCCCTTGACTTGACGCTTTCATGCTGGGAGTCTGTGTGTTCCTAGTATCCCTAGAGTCATATAAATTTGAATTTGAAAACGCTGATGCAAAAAAAAAAAAAAATCCAGGCAAGCATCCTCACTGCTAGAGCTTAAAGATGGCATCTTTCAACACAACAGAGAGATGAATATGTTCCTTAATTAGCGTGAGAGGAGAAACACAAAATTAGACATCAGGCACAAGTTTTATAGAAGCTATGGATCAGGTGGGCGATTATGACCTATAATACATGTTTTTGTTTTAAGATTGTACTGCAACAGAAGTATGAAACCATTTAAAGTTGCTTTAAAAGTAAGGTTGACATTGGATTGGGCAAATGATGATTTTCTCAGAAAAATCTATGCATGTGTGTAATATCCAGAGGTTAAAAACATGTGGATATTTCCTAGTACATTGCAGAAAGTAACTATAAGGACCTTTTTGCCTGCTACTGGCTTTGGCCCAGGTCTGTCATATTGCTCACACTCTCCACTCTCACATGCACTAATAGAGGCAACTCCCAGTTTATTCCTCTAAGATTGCATGGGTGGATTTCATATTTTTTTTTTTAAATTGGCTACCTCTCTTGGAACACATTGTAAACAGCTGTGGTTTTCCAAAGGGCAAGAATATATTCATTCATTGTTCTTTTCTCCCTTCTCACAGAATAAAGCCCTTTTCCACCAATTCAGTCTTAAGGAGAACTGGCTCCAGCTTAGAGGAACTGTGACTGAAACAGAGGAAAGTGAGTATGGTTCCAAGGAGGGCTTGGGTGGGTGGAGTAGCAATTCATCACAGCCTTTCTCCAACACTAATGCATCAGCCTTCCTTTAACCATTTCCAGCTGTCACACCCCTCTGATAAGCACATTAACATCAAATATGATCGTTGTTTTTTTTCTTGCTTTGAGCATTACAATTTTCTTGATGAGTTAATAGTGTCAGAGGACCTAGAACATTTTCACTTGGGAAGGAAGGAAAGGAGACTACAAAAAGCTTCTCTCCATGCTGGGGGAGAGGCACCAAAGGGCCTGGAAACTCTACCTCTTTTTTCCATTGGGCCCCTTGTAGCCTCAGCCCCTTACGACTTAGTAGAAAGACCTCTAAAGCCAGTGTTCTTGGGGTCTGGGTGCGTCAAATCCCTGAGGTTTGAGAGAAGAAAATCTCGTAGGCTAATAAAAGGCAGGATGGGCTATCAAAAGTCACCCTGGGCATGGCTGTGTGGGGCAGGGCCACTTCAGTGTGTCCTCAAGCCATGCTCGTGGGTGACAAAAAGACTGGTGCCCCATCCTGAGGAAGGCTGCTATGGCAACTCAGGTCAGTACAGGGGAAATATCTTTTTAGAACTCTGTGGTGTTGATGTGCTTTTCCTTGTGAATATTTTATAATGGGACTAGAAATGATTTTCTCCTGTTTGGGTCAAGGTTGAGTCAAAGCCTAAGCAGAGCCAGGAAACAGCAATTAAAATGTTCACACTATTGTGACGTCAAGACTTTCCCTTTTATATGGCCTTTCTCCAAGTGCTGCAATTCTTAAGTGTGAACAGTTAATATTTGCTTAACATTGTGAACACTTCCACAGCAAAATACTGTTACATTACACTTGTATGGAGCTCTAGGGTGTCATCTGTAGTAAATAAAAGAGCAAATGAAATTAATTTACCTAGCTCCTTGGTTGCTGACCTTCCTTGCCCATTATAGCTTAATTTTCCAAGCTGAATTTCAGTGTTACTATTTGAAGATCCTTTGCCTCTTTTTCCTTTCGTGACTTTTTTCAGCAGGCTGCACAATCAGCCTCCTATCTAGCAGTTTTGCACCAGATATTTGCCTTGCTTAAAAGTTCCATTTTTCTAACGCAGGAAAAGAGCTTTTTTGTCTCTTACAAGTTTGTTGACAACACATAAAACAGCTATTTGTTAGATGCTGTGGCTTTTGTGACACACCCAGCCAAACCAAATTAAATGCCTCAGTGCCTTCTAGTGGCATATTTTCTTTGAGGTTTATATGTACAAACTAGTAGTTTGTTTTTTGTCTTGTTTGCATTTCCATGAAGACTTTCCTGGGCTTCTTTTTGTAGTGTCATTTAAATTGCATATGAAATTTCTCAAGTTGCTACACTTTTTTTTTTTTTGCAATACAAAAGAGAATAATAGCTTATCATCCTGTCTTTTCTGAAAAAGCTAGTGTTTTATCAGAATAACTGATATATGAAACAAATAATGTGCCAGTTATCTCCATCGCTTTAAAACAGTTCCTGCTGTCAAATCATAGGAAAATTTTTTTTCTAGGACCTGTTCACCCTGAAAATGACAGTGTCCTCATAATAATTATTGGCACTTCAGACAATAAAAAAGGATATTAAAAAGGATAAAAAAAGTGGCCTGTATTTGGAAACTCAGCTCACCACCACTTTGATCAGGGAGGTCATTCTTAAATGATTAAAAAGGCTAAACACAAGAACCATAGCAAATGACAGATTTTCAAGTAGCTTATGAGAATTCTAATAGCAAAATGGGCTATTTTGGATCGAACCATTGTAACTGTCCAGAAATGGTGTGCAAAATAGAAATATATATGTTAGGCATTTTAATCTACTGCTCTGAGGGATGACAATAACCCTTGAAGAAGGGGCTCATACACACAGCTTGTGTTCTAGAGCTCTCCCTGTGCTGTGTTCTGGTCCTCTATACACTGAACACAGTTGGAGGATACGGGTCTCTCATTACAGTGCAGGGAAGCTGCTTACTGGCCAAGCTAGTTATCAGCTTGGTTACTTTGTTAAAGCTGTGTCATTTTGTGCATTCACACATTTGTATGCACAATGTCAGGCCCCCATGTACATCCATCACTGTGTAGTTCTGGCTGTGTACATTTTAAGTTTAAGAAAACATCGAGATGGATGCCTTGATGTGGAGAAGTCTGCTCTTCATCACCACGGTTCCCCATTTATTAACAATTGTTTTTGCCTTGTCCAGTTTTTTGCCACGTGTATATAACAGAGCACTCCTATGTCAGTGTGAAGGCAAAAGTTTCCAGTACAGCTCAAGAGATCCTGAAAGTTGTGGCAGAAAAGATCCAGCATGCAGAAGAGGATCTGGCTCTGGTAGCAGTCACATTCTCTGGGGGTAAATTATTTTCTCTCGTTGAATATTAATCCTTAACTGGGTCTCCTCCAAAAGGAGTGGGGTGACATTTTTGCTGGGCAGATGTGTAGTTCAGGCCCTCTGGGTCCACCCGCAGCAGGATGACCAAGGTAACAATAAGCCGCCTCCCAAAGGTGTTTCCATGGCAACAGTTGGGTACTGCTGATACTGAATTTCCTCCCAAAGACCTGAATAGAGCGGCACACCAGTGTTTTGAAATTTATTATAAAGCTTTTCATATTTTGTACTCTAGATAAGCGTTCTATTTTCATATTTAAATTAATTGGGGAAATTGCTAAAGGATGAAATTACTTGACAAAGAAAAAAGGAACGCAGACTTGAACTGGTCATCATTGTGATGATTTAATACTTAAAGAGTACTTCCTGAAGGAAATAAAAACTGCAATACCCTGAAAACTCCTAGGCAGTGTTCCTTCAGGTGGAGGTGGGGTGTGAAACCTAATTCTAGCTTTCCCTTCTGTTGGGCTTTATTTATCCTCAGAGAATGGGTTATTGTCTGTTTTGAATAAGATCACACAGATTACAAGCTGACACTATTGATCTCTGTGACCTGAATAGACCCCTTCGCTTTCACTGGAGCCTGTCAGCTTGCAATGTCACTGGTCTCCTTTCTAGCTTACAATCTTTATTTAATATCTCATTAACCCTTGGAAAAATACAAAGAAAGTGGCTTAGAGTCAGTAGTTGAAAAATAGGAGCATTCTGTGAACTAATCAACTAGAGAGGGGGCAGGCGGTTGAGGGGGAGCAGCGAAAAGCTGTTCCTATTTACCCTGTATTATCACTCTAGAGTCAAGAGAACAATGTCAGAATACACTGGACATTCAAATATCATGTGACAGAATATTCCTTCTATTACTTGTTACTAAGAAGCAGATATAATAGCCCCCAAGCTAGTGAATAATATGTGCAAAAAGATACAACCCACTCCATAAGTCTTACAAATGAAAGCCTCTCCTCCCTCTCCCAGGGCTCAATTAACTCTGTATCCATCAAAACATCATCTAGGAAAAAAAGGTAAAACATTGAGAAACATGTGGACTACATTGATTTTAACCAGGGAATAGTTGGATTTTTAATAGCATTGTGTAGGTAATCCAGATTATAAGCATATATTATACTTAATTTTAGGTGACAAAAAATATTAAATGTGTCTGAACAATATCAAGCTTCATCAAGCCATCATTAACCTCTCGCGATGGCACCATTATGGGGAGTAATCATTGAGTGTCTGCTCAGACAGACAGTGCTAGAGAAGGAAGGACCCTGGTGAACTTGGTAACACAGCTGAGATCCGTGTCCCTGGGAGAATCAGCCCAGGGCTGCACATGAACTTGCAAATTAATGAGGAGCCCTTTTACTAGCCAACATGGAATTGATGGCTGTGAAATACCATTTTTACACTCTATTAGATTCATCAGGGCAATGGTTCCAGTGTGTGTAGACTCATTGCTAATCATCGTAGGAAATATCATTTTATCTCAAATTATCCCACGGATTTGGAAACATGCCATCACTTTCTATCAATTAGTACTTTTGTTTGTGGAGAGCATTTCTCTCTGCAGCTTGATATCCTCCAAACAGTAAATTTTTATGAAGAAAAAAAAAGGTTTAATATATTCCATGCTCTAGTTACATAATTTTTCAGTTACTAATGTTTTAAATGCTATTTCAAAATAAAAAGACATTTACATCTACTGTTATTTCCTGTTTGTACAAACAAGTTTAAAAATGTTGACAGGTTAAGGGTTTCCTGGATTTTTCTAAAAGGAATAGTATGGTCTCATATAGCTTTCAGTAGGTTTCTAGTTATTTTGACCTCAAAGCAAGTATGTATATTTAGTAATAACAATGACCCAATTATTCAAAGCGCAAAATTCTGTCAGCTCTAGTCTTACATAGTACAGTGACAAACTTGAAAATAACAAAAAATTTGCTTAGCAAATAAAAAATTGTTGTCACATGATAATGTCATTATATTCTGTAGCAAGTAGAAAACAGCTTTTATAAATTCAGATTTAAGGTATACATGGGTACACAGAAGGTTGCAAGAAACTAGCTTCACAAAGAGGGAAGAAGTGGCAGAACTTCAGAGCCCAGCTGTAGGGGACCATTTACTACACATGTCAATAGCCCGCATGACAGTACTATCGATCTCTATAATGTCAGGCCTTAAAGAATATATTAGATTATCATTTGTCTATTAAGCAAGTTCTAAATTCTGTATTAAGCAGAAATGTTCAAAACAAAATTTAGCATTTAAACTGATTAAGTTATCTAGAAAAGATTTGTGGGGGTTTGTATTCCCAATCAAGCTGATTAACTCAATGGCTATCCTCAGAGATGCTGATTATAGTAAAATGTAATAAACTAGAGTATGTGCTTTAGTTGATTCCTGTATGCTTTTTGTAGTTGGGAAGGAGACATTTTTCTATGAAGGAAGCTATTGTGTAAGAGTTCAAACTCTAGTAGGAAAAAAAAAAGTGGTTGAAGAATAGGAACAATTTGCAATAAAAGGAAATAAAATAGAAAAATATATAAATATAGTATCACTAGTCATCAAGAAATATAGTTTAAGGGTATATTTTTGGTTTTAGAAAAATAATGATTAGTGTTGTATAGTGTACAAGTTTTAGTCCTACTTTTAGGTGTTTGTTGGTTTATTTTCTAAAAAACAAGAATTGGAAAGCAACTTGATAGTTACATCAAAAACTTTGAAATTACTTGTTCCCTTTGACCCAGTAATTCCACTCTTAGAAATGAGTCTTAAGAAAGTCATTTATAAGCAACCAAAGATAAAAGCATAAGGATGTTGACTTCAAAAATACATACTATGACTGCTCTTTTAATAGATCCCATTTATCAAACTCCTGTTATTTGCCAGACCCTGTGCTAGTACTTAGCATATATCTTATGACCTAATTTATATGACCAAAAAATTAGAAGCCATTAAATGTTCAATAGAGAAAATACTAAATGATGGCATAATGAATTATTATGGAACCAATTAAATTTGACGTATAAATAATTTTGACAAATGCTCACAATAAAATCAGAATATAAAACCATATATAGAATAATTACAAATATATATATATCTATTACTATGAATATGTGTATATTAATAAGAGTGTTTGTGTGTGTATACAAACATAAGTATATGAACAAAAATATACCCAAATATCATCAGTATTACTGTCTATAGTAACTTAGAGTGATGGGATTATGGATTTTGCTCTCTTCCCTAACCTCGGCTGTGTGTTAAAGGATGACTAAGTACTGTAAGAAAGCATTCCAGAGACTCCACATCATGGAGAAAGGGCAGCATTGTCTATGAGTCACTGCTGTCATTGTATGGAGTATGCAGAATTGAATCTACTTTATTATCTGATTTACTTTTTAAATATTTGTCTTTGGCAAGTTTTACTCTTTGGGTGTCTTATATGTATATATATATACGTACTGCTGTTCCTGTCTTTCCCTTTCTGATTTCTCTTTTTTTATATATATATATATATAAAGAAAAGCATGAACTTCAGCCAAATGAGCTGGCCATTTCCAAATCTCTTGAAGCATCTGGTCGAATATATGTCTACCGGAAAGACCTGGCTGACACTTTGGTAAGGACCTTTAACCTTGTACTTGAAACACACACACAAATGTCAGACTCATAGCATATTTTTGAATGGTAGAAAAGTATGTTCCCTTCTTCAGCTAACAATACACTTGTCAGATAGCACTACCAACTTAAGGAATTCTAAACTCTTCTTAACTCAGTCCTTGAGAGAAGGAACTCCCTCTCTATGCCATCTAAATTCCATTCTTCTTCTTTTGGTGGATCAATGGAGATTTAACAGAGGAACATACTTTGCAAGATTTAAGGAGAAGGAAACTTTATGTCCTTTGTTTCCTTCCATTTGGTTAACAGTGAGTGCACCACTGATCCCTTGAAGGGTGGCTCATCTTCAACCTTCCCATGTAACAGGTTCATAACAATGGGACACACCAGATAGCACTGAGAAAAGAATTTGGTGAAGAGTAGGACACATACTGTAAGTTATTTTTAGTCCAAATATAAGAAAATGTCTACCTAAGTATATACCTTATTGTTATTCATATAAACCATGGCTTGTGGCTGATCCCAGCCTAACCAAACCAGCCCCTGAGAAATTCTGCTTGCCCTCCCCTCAGCATTTGTGTGGAATTCATTCAGGCCACCCTTAACAGTGTCCTACTCTTGGACTGTTTGTACTTGGACTGAAGAGAATCAAATCTGTGGAAAAGTTGTGTAGTGGTCTTATCATTAGTAGTTTGTGTTTTTGTCTTTTTTTTATTAGAAAACTTTTATAAATGCAGAACTTCTAAAATGCACATAACTTATTTTTTTACTTATTTATTTTTACATCATTATTCATTTTGTGCATTTTTTCATCTCAGTTGTAATCCCCATGGACTTCCCACCACCAGTTCATCTGTGTGTCATCACCATAGTCCCACACACTCTTTCCACTCCTCCAGTTTTGATCCTGCTCCCCTCTCCACTCTTGTAAAATGTCTCTGGTTTATAGTTGTTCATTGTTTTTCATTTTTTCTTTATTCCAATTACTTTTTTTTTTCCTGGTCCCTTACACTCCTGCTATGAATGAAACCATCTGATACTTTTCTTTTTCTTTCTTGTTTATTTCACTTCCAGCTCCATCCATGTTACTGCAAAAAATCATGAACTTGTCTTTTTTGCTTGTTGAATAATATTCCATTGTATATATGTACCACATCTTTTTAATCCAGACATCTATTTTTGGGCTTTTGGGTTGATTCCACATCTTCCCTATTGTAAATAGAGCAGCAATAAGCACGGGGGTGCAGGTGTCCTTTTGAGTGAATGTTTTTGTGTCCTTTGGGTAGATACCTAGGAGTAGGATTGCTGGGTCGTATGGAAGGCCCATTTTTAGCAGTTTGAGAAACCTCCAAACAGCTTTTCATAGTGGTTGTACCAGTTTGCTAAAATGCACATAACTTATTTTGACATTTGAAATAGAGGTTAGCATTTGGGATCTAAGAGATTCTTGTTTTCCTGTTATATCATTTATTTTTGTAAAGTCTCATTCTTTTGTTGTTGGTGTTAACTATTTTATCATTAACAATTAAAGGTCAACAACTCAAATGGGAGAATTCATATTTAATTAGAAAATATCAAGTGTTTTCAAAAGATGCCAGATGATTCTAATTAGGTTTAACAGTGACAGTAGATTTTAAATTGTGGTTCCATTTCATAATTTCATGCCAGATTTTAAGGAAATACTGTTGCCAAACTCATACCTGTTTGTGTCAGGAAAGCAACTGACACTTAATCATCCAGCATGTGGTATAAATGAGCTAACTTGTATTTTTTCATTTCCTGCTTAATTTTTTTTTTACTTTTCACAGCATTTTAATAAAATTTGTACATATGTACCTGGGACAAGACTTGTTAAACATATTTCCTGTAAAAGCCATGTCTGTTTTTATTGAAGTGCACCATGACATTTCTTTTGTTTGTTTTTATACTCACCCTCCTGGCACATTAATTCTTACCAGAAGCCAGAGTGATTTCAGGGCTTTCACTTTCATTATGCTGCCTGTCAGGGTGGTGTTTTATAATCAGATTTGTGTGTGTGTGTGTGTGTGTGTGTGTGTGTATGTGTATAAGAGGGAAGGGGAGGCTAACTCAGTGAAGTGTCATTGATCACATTCTACTGATTCCAAGGCTGTTTCCTAAATTTGCTGTAACTCACTGAAGGTGAACAGACCAGGGAAAATATTAAGTGCACTCAGACAAGATTACTTTTCTAATCTGAGCTTCTAGTGCCTTTCTACAGGGTGCCAATTCAGTGCCAAACATTTGAGAATTACTGAGGATCCTTTTGCTTCTGTCTGTTGGTTTAGAACCCATTTGCAGAAAATGAGGAATCACAGCAAAGGTCAATGAGGATTTTGGGAATGAACACTTGGGATCTTGCTCTGGAATTAATGAATTTTGATTGGAACCTCTTCAATTCAATTCACGAAGTAAGTACAGAGTGAAGGGTAAAATGTTACTGCTTTTGCTTAAGATAAAATAAATGTTAGCTGAATTTTTAAAAGAATGTTTACATGTACCACTGGGTTTTTTAAAAGATCCATCATCTAGTTTTAAGTATATATATTTAGGACATGTTCCTCAAAGATATTTAGGGACTTCAATTATATTGAAAGACTGTCCTAAATCTAGAAAATCAAAATACATGATCATATTTTATTTGTTCCTATAATTGTTTGTTTAATGTAGTATAAATACACTATATTTATATATGTATATGTGTGTATTTATGTATATATGAAGTATTCATGGGGGTAATGGAGTCATCTTACATCTAATACTTTTGATATTCTTAACTCTATAAATGTCATTGTAGTTATATAAGAATCATAAACTTTTATGTACACACATACATGTTCTTTTACTTAAATTTAGACAATGCTGCAAAACTTCAATAACTTTTTTGAAAATATTGAAATGTAGTTCGAATTTTTATGTCCATCAACTTTTCCCTTGACAGTGTATAACATTTATAAAATAATTGACATGGGCAAAATGCTACTGACAATTAATATATTTAGGGCTCACAGAAATCAGGAAATGAAAAATATAACAGTTCTGAGCCACCATATGTTGCATCTGTTATGCCATGTAGTGAGATCTTTCTGTAGGAAAAGCCTTTTCTTCTGAAGAAGCAACTCATGTCCAACTTAGCGACTCTGGAGCTTCACTTTCAATTTGGAATATCCTTTCAATATCTTCAGTCAGTCCATATAGTCACTGATCTTATTTGCATTTTTAAATTAGGACATAGCCTTAATCTCATTCTCCTTCTGTTTATGATTTGTCAGTACCTTAGTTGTTCTCAGTGTTCACCAGACCTGTTCACCCAGACCTGTACCAGCACACTGGGAACTTGTTAGACATGTTAACTTGGGGGCCCACCACAGACCTATTGTGTCAGAAGCCCTGAGAGCAGGGCCCAGCAATGTGCCTCCACAGGATCCTAGTTCACAGAAGATTTTGAGAACCCTGATGTAAGCACTGCACCTATGAGGATCTACTGTGCAGCGTAATAAGCACTGGTTGACAGTATTCATTTTTACTTGAATTTGCCAGTATAACAAACTTGGATTTGAGTCAGCCTATGATTTAAACTTAGAATGCTTTAGATTTTCATGTAAAGGCGGCATCATCATGTTCTGAAAAATTACATTTGTATAGAATTCTAAGTGAATGTTCTTTCAGGATGCATCTCTAAGACTTTAAAATCCAGTGAGATTTATATCAACTTGACTTTGAATGTGCTAAAAATAAACGCTGGCATGAATACATTTTCTTTCAGCAAGAGCTGATTTACTTCACCTTCAGCAGACAAGGAAGTGGGGAGCACACAGCGAATCTCAGCCTTCTGCTCCAGAGATGCAATGAAGTCCAGCTTTGGGTGGCCACAGAGATTCTGCTCTGCAGCCAGCTGGGCAAGCGAGTGCAATTGGTGAAGAAATTCATCAAAATCGCTGCTCAGTAAGTGGATAGAGAACTGCTGTTTATCTCCTTTCCTTGAGACAGTGTATTTTAATCATGTGCTGGTAAAAGGGTTAGGGTGTAATATTGAATTAAGTGACCAAATGATTGATGGGTCTCTTCTTTAGTATGTATATCTTTGCATTTGATGTATTTATTGATAACAAGTAAATGTCAAAATTCCAGACCAAAGCACCTTGCTCTTTGCTATGAAAATAGTAAGCAGGCAATACAAGCATATCCCATCCCTCAACTAAATTACAGTGTGGTTGTGTGAGCTATTATGGACTAGAAAAATGGGGGCAGTTGATATGAGATGAGAATCACTGAAAGTCACATGCATTCTAGAATGCTGGCTCCTTGATACCCACTGTATGAACTTTGCAAACTCGTTAGCAGGCCCCGTACTCACTGGTCCCACTTTACCCTGAGCTTCAACCACTGTGTGCTTGCTGTGCTGCAGCCGCTCTGAATGTCTTGTGATTTCCATGCATGTGGAAGGACAGGAAGGAAATTTTCTCCTGCTCCCTCGGTTCTTGTCCAGCTAGTTGAGTAACCAAATTAATGTCAGACAGACCAGTGGGAGAAAAGAACAGTTTTACTTACGTAAGTGTGACGAATCCATGGATGAGATTCTAAAGTCAGTAGGCAAAAGGAGGGGCATTCACATGACAGGGAGAGGGTAGCCCATGTGATGAAGACCTGATTCTCTGTAATTAGATGCCTGCCCACCCATAACATTAGTTTCCACAAAAGAAGGATGATTGTAAAATATCACATTTGAGGTAAAATCCCCCAGTTTTTATATTGGACCAGGCAAGAAAATAATAAAAATAATGAATAGCCATATACCAGAGACATTTTGTGAGGGTGGAGTGGGGAATGGGATAAAAAATGGTAGGGAGAGGGAAGTGCACTGGACTATGGTGATGGCACATGGGTGATTTGGTGATGGGAAACCCACGGGGATTACAACTGAGGTGAAAAAAAAGTACAAAATAATGTAAAAATAAACTATTATATATATATACATATATATGTATATACACATATATGTATATACATATATGTATATACATATATGTATGTGTATATGTGTATACATATATGTGTATATACGTATATATGTATACATGCGTGTGTATATACATATATATACGTATATGTGTGTGTGTGCGTGTATGTATACATATATATATATATCCCCCAGTTTTCATTCTTGTAGGTGATTAAAGAGTGCCAAATTTTCTTGTAAGCTGCAGGGTCTCACCTAAGTTCAACTCAATTAATGCACATGGCAAGATGATTTACCTTGGGAGAAAGCATGTTCTGAACATCTTGTGGAGGCCTGTTCTTGACACACTGCCCTCCAAGTCTGGATGAGTGTTTTGAGCTAGGTGTGGCTACTTCTACATTCAGCATTCTTAGAACAATTGCTGTTGTTCTTTAACACCTAGATCAAATTTTGCTTTTTTCCCGAAACTATCCCTGACTGTCAAATGCAGTTTGCTACTCACCACCGCCTAAACACCCCCAACATGATTATTTCATTTTTTAAATTTCTTTATTATATTTGTTAAACTCACCCATTTATAAAGGGCTCCTTCACTAGCCTCCAGAGGACAGGGATGTTTCTAATCAGTCATTGTTTCTTGGATGCCTGGCATGCAATTCGGTAAATGGCAGTGACTCAGTTATGTTGGTTGAATGACATTTTAGTAACTTGCTGGAAGCAGCTCATAAAATACCAGATTTGTATCCTTAGCCTGCTTTTGGCACTGTTTCCCAACAGAAGCAGGCAGCATGAATTAAAGTCCTTCCCACTTGCTTCTTCCTGCCAGTCTTCCCATTTTATTTCATCTTATCTTTCAAAGTAGTTTTCAAGTACATGCTAGTGTAATATATTCAGGAAATAAATATTGTTCACTCATGTGAAGGTTTTTGCAAGGTACTCTCGGGAAGTGCCTTCACTGAGGCCTACACCAAACCCCTGCCTTCGAGGAGTTTATACTCAGTTGTGGGAAGGGAGCACTACAGCTCTTCAGAAATAGAGCAGTGCCTTGCCATGAGGTGAAGTTCTGTCGGTAGCTTCAGAAGTAGCAAAGTGCACATGTTATGGATGTGGGAAAGGAGAATTAGAAGAGAATAGGCATTTGAGAGAGGAGAAACATTTGTGGCAGTATTTGAGTTCCGGATAGGTATGATGGGTAAAAATTCAAAAATATGTTCTTATTGGACATCAAACCACAGAACATGTGCTCAGGAAAAGGAACCTCCTATAATGTGGCCAGTGTGAAGGGGGATTTGTGGGAGGTGGACATGCAAAGGAATCTGGGACCTTGTTAGAAAGGTTGTTGAACTTCAGATTAAAGAGCTTGGGCCAGTTACAAAGTCAGTAGCTTTCTTGTACGCCTGCAGCTTACAAGAAAATTTGCCATTCTTTAATCACCTACAAGAATGAAAACTGGGGATTTTTTTTATATATATATCTAATAGTTTATTTTTACATTATTTTGTGCAGAAGACCAGTGGGGTCATGCTTGCACCTCACGAAGGCTGATCTAGACTCAACTGTAGGTGAGGAAACCCAGAAGCAGGGTGTTTTGTTTCCTAAGGCAAGAAATAAGTTGGCATTTGGTGGGGTTGAGAAAGCAGATAAAGAACTGATATGCTTAAATCTTGGACTTTTTATGGAAGAGACTCTTCTTTTTTTTTTTTTTTGTCAGTGTATTTCATAAGAACCTATGAAATTCTTAAAAGTGAAGCTCATTGGATCAAAAAGTTTCATATAAATCTGGTTTTTTAAAGAAGTGAATATTAATATCCTGAGAAGTAAAATGACACACCACATAGCTCAGTTCCTAGCATAAGATTCTGTCTCTCCTCAGGGAAATAAAATATATTCACATCTTCTCCATGTAGCTCCGTACTCTTGAATTATTTACTATACTGGTCTCTACCCCCAGATCCTGGAGTAGAATGCCAAAAGAAACATAGAGTTAAATTCGTTATAATCACACTAGTAGGAATAACCAAGGGAAAACAGTAATTTCCATGATCACGAAGTGTATTCCCTGCCTAAGGCATCCTATTTGCATATTCATGTTCCTTTCCTTCTCACCATCCCCTCCCCCACCTCTGTGGTTTGAGTGGGTTTTATTTTCTCACATAGACAAAGGACTGTTTGCTAAACCAGAATATTTAGTATCAGATGTCTGCTCCTATAGTGGAATGAATGAACCTCGATGACAGAGGATTCCAGACCAGAATGGTATCCAATTTATATACTGTATTGATTTGTCTTCTAGACAAACCATGTCTATATTAATTTCTTTTTGCTGTTTATAGGTTCAGATGTTAGTTATATATGTATGGGTTGTTTTTTTTTTTTTAAGTATAAAGGATAAACTCTAAAAAAGAAATATAAGCCAAAAGAATTATTTATAGGGAGCTTTTAAAAGATGAGAGTCATACATAAGATTCCATATAAATGATTCAGCATGAAAACAATAAACCTTCTTATAGTGAAGAAAAATAGTAAAGCCATTTCCCAAAAAGTATGGTTTTCAAATCCAGCAAATGCTATCTGAATCACTTTAATTTGGGTAATGGACAGAATGTAAAAGTGAAATAGACATACACACTAACCTTCAGGACCCTAATGACCAGTGGGGGGGTATCAGAACTAAGTGGGCCTACATCTTGTGGGACTGTGAGAACACCTGGGAGAAAGAGAGCAGCAGCCAAAGTGCTTCTGGCGGGAATGAGCTGCTTTTACTGATGCTGGGCCTCAGCAGAGGAGCCTAGCACTTCAAATAAATACAGCACAGGGCGGGGTGCATTCAAGCTGGTTGCACTGTGCCAACTTTCAAGGGCTGTTTTGAGACAGAAAGGGTAAAAAATGAGAGGGAATGAATGGCAAAGATAAGTAGAGCTACAAGAACGGTGCTTTTAGACAGCAATGACTCTCAGAAACAGGTAGAAAGATCTTGTTTCATTTTAATCTTAGAATATGTGAAACAGGGTCCACCCAGGAGAAAGCTGCAGAAACCAAAAGAAGGAGCCAACTGAGTTATGGGATCTTAAGGCAGAGTCCAAAGCTGAACAGGAAGACTGTGGGAGGGATGAATCCTGCCCTGTGGCGATTCAGCCAGACTTGTGTGTGTGCCAGATATTTTGGACACTAGACATGAAGGTAGCATCACCTTTTCAGTTTTCAGGCCAAAACCTCACTGCCTCAGAGCCCAGGCCCAGCTGGATATGTGCACTGTTCCATCCAGGAGGCTGGCTCAAGGACCAGCCAGGGCAAGCAGGACAGCGCACAACCAGCTTTGTCTACTACTTCTCTTAACAGCCCAAACCATTTTCCTGATTCTGAAATAGATGTTCTTACATACTCCCTGTGTAACTGGATATCAGTATAGTTTCAGGGGACAGAAATTTTTACTACATACCAAAAGCCATTGAATACATAATAGCTTGTGACCAATCATGTAATAGCTGGAAGTCTAACTTAATTTTAAAAATCATTATAAATACAGTAAATTTTTTATATGCAAAGGTATTCATCCTGCCCCATCAACCAACTTTGAAAACGAGGAATTTTGACCTCATAATAAAAGGAGATGATTAATGTTATGTGAAACAGACAGCCTTGCAGTACTCTATAAATCTTGAGGGAATTGAAAATAAATGTCAACAGTAGGAGAGAAAGTAAACAAGTTATGGAATAGGCTTTGATGAAATGTTATATAGCCATTAATAATACTAGTGATGAATTCATTACACACTCTATAATATGGTGTGTAACTACAAAAGCAGAATACAGAGTTATAGACACCTTTCCCAAATTCCACTTGAGACATTGGTAGACACCCTATGGAAGAGACAGCATTCAAAAGAAGCTAAAGTAACATACACTACATACCGGTTTACTGCTAAGAGCGTTTGTATTTAATTATCAAGTTATGGTAATTTCTTCATTTTAAAACCTGCCTCAGAAGTTTTCTAATGTGCCCCAGATAAAGGAGTATCTGGAATTCTCAGACTGTTTTATCTGACCTGGAAGCCCAGACTCCCTCTGTTCTACCCTGCCCCACCAACCAACTCTGAAAATTAGTGGAAGTTTGACCTCATAATTAGAGAAGATGATTAGTGCTGCACAGAACAGACGGCCCTACAGAATGAACGGAGCTTCACACTTTGCTTTGCATTTCTTTTCTTCTTTCAGTGAGAAATGTGAGACCGTAGCCTTATAATATACCCCACATTTTAAATATAGACTTAATATAGTAACTAAAGGGGTGGGTGAGAGGAATGTTATTCATGAGATGTAGTGTATGTAAAGAAGCATGAATTCAAGAGAGTTTTCAGTTGAAACTGTAAATGCAAACAGAACAGACTAAAAAGGATTTGAATCTTTTAAAATGTCCAAAGGAAAGCAAGAGCACAACTCCATTCCCTAAGGTAAGGAGGAAATGGAATATTTGGGTTCCTTTGCTAGGAACAGTGAAGGGGACACCACCCTCTCACCGGGGTGGGGGGGCAGGGAGGTGTAGGCTGGAAAATAGAGCTCAGCCCTCCCTAGAGATGGAACTCCGTGACCTGGAGTCTTTTCAGCTTTATCTGTTGTGCTTCTCTGGGGAAAGGCTGCTGCCTCAAGGGCCTTCTGCTTTCTTTTATTCCATAGCTGCAAAGCCCAGAGAAACCTGAATTCCTTCTTTGCTATTGTGATGGGTCTCAACACTGCCTCTGTGAGCCGACTGTCACAAACTTGGGAGGTGAGCCTTGAGGGTCCTCCTGCATGGGGTGGGGGTGGGGGGTATAAACGAAACTAAAGGGAACTCTTCCAAAAGGAAACATGTATTTAAAGTAAGTTTATTTAAATGGGATACGTACTAAATTAATTAATGTGTTAAATCGGTAGGAGCTATTCTGATCAAATGATCTTCAACGCAGTTCTTCAGTATATACAGAAGAGAGAAAATTTGTAAAATACTCCCCAGTTAGAAATAATCTGCTCAGCTCTTGTGATATCTGGCTACAGTTCTATGTGGTTCCTCTTAAAAGCTCACTTGTGTGCTGACATGTGTCCAGAAGTAGATCCAATATGATGCTAAGGAATTCAAACTCCGGACCTCTTACAGCAAGGCCTCCCTAGCAGCATATTCACACAGATAATGTGTATCATGGTAAAATTTACTAAGTAGTTGTTTTAAGTTCTGTTTCTAAGAGAGCCTGCAAAAGATCACAAGCTTCAGGCCTCCCAAATCCTGGCTCTCCCTCTACAGTGTGATGAAGGCTTGCTGGGCTTCCAGATGGAGAGGTCCTCTCAAGTTAGCACAAGTTCTGAGACATGGACTCTTGAGGTCTATATGTGGAAAACTGAAACTGAAGTGTCCCGCAGTTTCATCAGACACAAGTGTAGAGCTCTCTGCCTCTCCCAGGGTCCCGTCACCTTGTTTCCTTGGGCTTTTATTCTTTGACTCTCCTTTCCCTATGGATTGACTGACTTCCTCGGGTCCCCACCCCCACCCCCATCCTTTCTGTAATCATCGAGTCTCCCCTATGGCTGTCACCTAGTCACTGCTGGCCACCTTAGCCTCTCTCCAGGCCTCCTAGGCTTACCTCCTGTCACGGCTCCATTTCTTCATCATTGATAGTTTTGTTTTACTTTATATTTCAGCATAGGTCTCAGGGCAACTTACAGATTCACTTTCTTTGAGTCAGGGGCCATACTCTGATGGAATGCACAGTGGTGACCTGAGGGTCAGGGTCAGTGTGCTTCTTGAAAAAGGATTCAAAAGAAATGAAAGACCTGCCTACTCTGGTTAAACAAACAAGATACGCATGCACATCAGAATATTTAAAGAATGGACAACAAATGCCACAATCGATCAGAGCAAGGAGAAAACAGATGGCTAACAAGGGCCAGGGGAGAGAGGAATTTGAATAAACCTAGAGAGAAGGTCTGATTTGCAGAACTTAGGAGGAGAAATAATTCACTTCAAGCAGCATGCATTTTTGTGTGCACATTAACACCTGCTGCATGCAGGGCACTGTATCAGTGCAGCCAAGCGATTTAAGAGCAGACTGTGCACTGACGAAGGTCACCTTGAACACTTGACCACAGGAACAAGTGCAAAGACACTTCCTGCCTCGGAGTAGCTTAGCTGACTGAAGAAAAGCCCTGCGCTATACAGCCTTTTTTGGAGGTTGCGCCCAGGCACTGCTTGGGAGTTTTGGGGTGTGTATCCCAGGTAGAGGGAAACACAGGATAGCTAGGCCTGGTGGTAAATGATCACACTGCCCCAAATAGGTGATACAGGAAAAGAAGTAGGTCTGAGGAACTGGTGCAGAGGTCAGCAAATGTTTTGTGTAAAGGACCAGGTAATAAATATGTAAGTTTAGGTTTGCGCAGTCTAACCATATGTAAGCTGTGCCTCAACTCTGCCACTGCAAGAGCTGCCATCGTTAATATATCAGTGGATGGGCATGACTGTATTCCAATAAAACTTTTATTTACAAAAGCAGATAGTGGGCCTCCCTGGTGGTACAGTGGTTAAAGTCTCAGCATGATGAAGCTATCGCCAGCCACTGTAGCATGAGTTCTATCCCCACCAGGGAGCTGACCCCCACATGGTGCAGCAACCTCTCCTGTCTCACCCCCTGCTCCCCTAAGCAGTGTATTTCAGTAGATCCTCCCGTTCTGCTCCCCACGCTCTCTGGTGAATCTTCTCACACTTCCCCACACCAGCTCACACCTTTGGCCTACAACAGTTCTTGTATGCATAAATAAATAAATTTTTTTTTAAAGTAGATGATAAGCCAGATTTGGTCTGTGACTGACCCCTCAAGTAGATTGGTTCAGCTTTGGCTGTATTGAGTTTGAGATGCCCCTGGGAAATTTATTTGTGATGCCCAACAATCTGACATATGCAGCTCAGAACACATAGGCATCAGTAGCAGATATCTATGTTTTATCTTTTTTCATTCAGTTTTGTCTTTCACATATTAACATGAGTGTGGTAGATAAGACTGTTTCCAAATGGAATGAACTTTCTATTTGCTGCAATTAATTGGGTCCAAACTCCAAACGGTCAGACTGAAAATCTGTTGCTAAGTAATTTAAAAATCTAGTGATTGTGGAGCTTGTCTTATCCTTTTTATTCGTTTTGGAAAAAGAAAACTCCACAAAAGTCTTCTCACTTCTCACTAACACTATTACCATTTGTGTTAATAGCCGGGATTTTTTTTTTTTTTAAGATTTATTTATTCATACAGAACTGGGGTACAGGCCAGAGATGCGGAGGGTGAGAGGATTCGCCAGAGACAGAGTGGGGAGCAGAACAGGCAGATCAACGAAGTACACTGCTGAGGGGAGCAGCGGGCGGGCCAGGAGAGGTCCACCTCCCCATGTGGTCACCTCCGGGGCAGGCGGGGATCGAACTCATGCGGAAGTGGCTTTAGCTTCTTAGTGCTGTGCTTTAACCCGCTGCGCCACCAAGGAGGGTCCAATAGCCGGGATTTTTTAAGCACCAGCCGTGGACTGCATACTTCTCCTGAGTTGTCTCCATATGGATCAGAGAGCTTGGGTCTCATACAAAATCATACAACTAGAAAGGAGCAAGGGTCAGGCTCCAAATTCACATAACTAATTGCTATATCATTACAAAAGGCTTAACTTAGCCATGTAAAAGGCAGGCTAGAAAATTCTGGGTCCTGTTTCCATGGTCCTGAATTTTCCCTTGGTAGGATGCCATATATGTCTGTCTTCTGTCATTTTACATGCCACCTGTCGGTGTGGGTGATCTTTACAGTTCAGTGTTTCTACCCATTAAAGAGCAGACCTCATCATTTAGGGCTTCACCACCTTTCATTATTTAGCCCTCTGCTGTGAAACATAATTACATCATTTGTGCCCCCCAAAATGTCAGGCAACATTATTACTTCTCATTTAGCAAGAGTATAAGAAAATGAGAGCATTCGTCAAAGCTGGGACATGGAACTGACATCCAAGTGTTTATTGAATAATCACCAGTGTGTGGAAAGCCTAACCAGCTAGATTCTGGAATCATGTGGCTGATATTTATTTTAACTGTTTTTAGCAACATTCCTAACAAATGTCACATTAAGGGGTGATGGAAATTGCATGATGAGAAGCAATCAGGGCGGAACAAGACGATTGAAGTATTTATGATCAGAAATGTGACGCATGTAAGCACAACTTAATGGAAACTCCCATGGCCTCTCAAAATAACTGACTGCTTTGACCTTTCCTTTTTGCTTTTGTTTGTTTGTTTACAGAAAATCCCTGGGAAATTTAAGAAACTTTTCTCTGAACTTGAAAGCTTAACAGTAAGTAGCTGAACCTAAAGGGACTTGCTCTTCAAATTAACTGCTAGTGTAGAATTTCCCCCTAGATCTGAGTGGTCACTGTCTGCACTCCACCATGTCAGGGACCTTAACCTAGTTCACCTGGACAAGAAGAGTAACTTTGCTTCTCTTGAAGTGAAGCATACCCCTGCTACTTCCTTTCCATGGTAGGAGTGGTGAGATTGGTACTTTGGTATGACTTTCAGAAGGCAGATATTTTAGTCCATCTCAAATCACTGTTTAATCACCATAATTTTAGTTTATAATCAGTGTCTTATGTATTATTATTTCTTCTTTCTACAATTTCTTAGGTTTAGATACGAAAATGTATCGCTTCTTCTCAGAGCATAATAAACCAGACTTCATTGTTTTTTTCTGCATTGTCTGTGCATTATGAGGACTATTGTTTGCTGTACACCTAATGAAAGGTGTTGGGGCTACCTCAAATTGAAAATTATGCAGAAGAAACTGTACTAAAAAACTCTTTGAAGAAAATAATAGGACAATCCGAAGGTGCCTGGCTTTCACAGTCATTTCCTTTTATTGTAAACCAATAATTTGACTTTCATTCAGTGCCTAAGTTTCCTGCCCCAATTTAATGAGTTAATTCTCCTAGGTAACCTTTATCAACTGCATTCTTAGGAAGACCCTCTATACCGGTTCAAACTGTATAGCAGAAGTGAATTTTAGACTTGTTTCTATAGCACATTGATTTCTCATTCTCTTTATAATCTGCTTGGCTTGGCAGGATCCTTCCCTGAACCACAAGGCCTACAGAGATGCTTTCAAAAAGATGAAGCCACCAAAAATCCCTTTCATGCCCTTATTGCTTAAAGGTAAGTGCTACATAATTCTGTCTCCCAGAAATGTATTGCCCTCTCTATTGAGGGCAAGAAAAGGATGCCTAGTGTACTTAAGTAATTTTGACATCCAGACCAAACTATATTTGGTGGTAATTGTTTTTCACCTGCTCAGTGTCTTCAGAGATATTTAATTTTACTTGAACAGACTTAAAGCTCTTGATTCACAAAACTTGGTATTAGAAACTTTGTGTTTTTATTGTACTTTAAGTGCTGCCTTATTTTCTTTGAGTCTATAATCCAATTAATTAACTAAAAATAAGTTAGTTGTTCTGGCACATACCCAAGTATGATCAATCACATTCCATCTTTGCCATCTAAGTTTCAGAAACATAGCCCCAGTTGAATCTTGTGTAAGAAATACCTTTGATCAACACAAGCAATATACTCCACAGAGTACTTTGGTAGAGAGTGTACTTTCTTCTTTCTAGAAAGGGAATCTAATTAGGATAGTCTTTGACAACTGCCAGTTATTCCACTAACTTTTCTTTTGTAGACCACCAAATAATTCACCATGAAACCTGCTAGTGAAATCTCAGTGGTCTCTTTCAAATGAAGGGGATGAATGGGAAAGTCATTCTTTATAATTTGGCGTGTGCTTCTGATATTCAGTGTATAGCCTATCCATGTGCTTTCTATGGAAAGGGGATTTGGGCAATTTTCTTGGTCATGTTTTCATTCCTTCAGAGGGATTTTATAGCACTAATAATTCATCTGGCTGCTACCCTTCAGAGGCTTGTAACTTCTGCTAGATCAGACCCCAGAGGCTGGATCCAGAAATGTGATCCTAGACATGAGTTACTTGGGAACTTGACTGCTGGTCCACCTGTCTGTATTTCTCCTCTGTCTGTCTTCATTGCCAGCCCGACTGGCAAAGCTGACAACCTCTTCAGCTACTCTAAGGACTAAAACTCAGAAAATTATTGTGAGTTTTTATGTATCCCTGCAGCTACTCATTTGTCTTCATCTAGAATAAAGCAAGAGTATCTATGAAACAAAAATATACCAGGATAACTGAGAAACACAGAATGTTTCATTCAAGTTGAAAAAAAAATCTGTTAAATATAAGTGGATAAATAAAGATAGATTGTAATGGCAAAATAACAACTTTAAAGTTCATTTGAGTTTTCATATTATTTAGTATTTGTTTTAAGATAAGTTTATTCAGGCTTATTATTTTTATTTGCAAAATGAAACACCTTCAACTAGGCAGTGAGGGTGACAGGTGGGAAGTAACTCTTGGAATCATTTAGTCACAAGAAGAAAATGAGGACAGGTCTGAGGAAGAAATTTATTTTAGGTAAATTTTTGAAACAAAAATATTTTAAGGTAATGAGAAATTACTTGACAGTGTCCCTTGAACCTAATTAGATATGAGCATAGCTTTCTGATATATACCAGCCATTTCCCCCCAAAATTATTTAATGCAATCAAGTGTCTCACACTTACATCTTAGCTTGGATGCAATTTTCTGCTCTGTTGAATTTATCTAGACCTCTTTGTTGGCAGCAAAACAAATTTCCCTTTTTTTCTACTGAAAGTACATTCACTCATTTGCTCTAGTAAATTAAAGTTGTTTTTTCATTAGAAAGCTTCTTGAGTTTAAGCACTTAATTTTCCTTTATTTTAATTTTTGACATCATGGAAATAAACATCATTAGTACTCTGTTGTAGTTAAAGTCACCCTTTTTTTTTTTTGTCCAAAATAATTTTCAAGGGAAGTAAGATTAAAGAAATTTTAAATACATCCTGCCTGAGATGAGAAATTTGGGGGAAAACAAGAAACATTCTTAGGTTTTGTAACTGCAAAATTACTTTAAAAGTTTCCCAAAACTACTTTAGACAGTCAACATTTTATCAAAAACTCTTCTTTACCCCCCATTTCATGTCTTGTTAGCCAGAGAAAGAGAACCAAATTGAATGCCTTGGGTGTTAAGAAAGATTTGACTTCTCATGTTTCATGTTTTGAGATAGTCAGTTCCCATTAAAGATGCAGATCAAGTCAGCACACAACCTGAGCATCCTTCTGGCTGTCAGTTTTTCTGCTTCCTAGTTGTATGTTTTTACTCTTGATTTGTGATGTGGAACCCAGTTCAAGGGCGTGACAACAGGAAACCCTAAGAAAGTGCTGGAAGGGATCCAGCTGAGCTAAAGGTCAGAAGCAGCTGAAGAGTCTCTTTTTTCGCAGTAGTTTTGGAGGTGGTAATCCCTCAGACAGGTGCCTGAAAATAAACTGACTTCCTTCTGGCAGGTTGGGTATTATATCTTAGAGTGGAGATTATGTTGCAGATTTGTGGGCATATTTAAATAAAAGCAGTGTTAGAGTACTTGTAAGTTTCTTCCTCCTTATTCACTTGCCATATCTTCAAATACACATCCAGCAGTTATGCTATGTCAGGTGATTGGAGTGTGCTCAGGTATCTCCAGCTGAAATGGGTCTGTCAGGTGCTCATTTGCCACACTGAGCCTGGTGGGTACCCTGAAACTACTTCACAACCTATGACTTAATTTCAGAGGCCCTTAATTTTAGCCGCCTATTTCTATCACTCATTGTCACTTAATCATTATCACACACCTGCCAGTCAGCTGCAGTAAAACTGCCAGCCTCTTGAACCCCCTTCTTTTGGATTAGATTCCCTCCCAGCTTATCCTGGTGCCTGTACTTGCCTCTGCGGACCTAGACAAGTCTCTGAGAATCGAGATTAAGTGAAATCACCAGGAAAAGGAGAGATCTAAGGCTAGAAGGAACAGATTAAGGGTATCACTTAAAAATTACAGGGGCACCAAATATGCTATAAATTAACCAGTTGACTCTAATGGGTTGTAACAAATGCCCACCGGGTTCCACGTCCTTCCAACTTGAGGTACCAGAATTGCACAGTGGTGAAACTTGCTCCTGGGCTTGAGCCCTGGTTCTGACTAGCCACACTATGATATGGACCAAGCTGTATGTTCTTCTCTCTCTGAAGTTTTTAACCATATATAGATACAGAGATAGAGCTAGAGCTAGAGCTAGATAGATATATATAGATATATAGATATATACATACAGATATATAGATATGGACACGTTATCTATACATAGATATAGATGTGTGTATATGCATATATAGTCTCTTTATATACATATATAGTCTTTTGTGAGGATCAAACAATTGCATGCAATGTCTACTGTTATTCATAAATGTAAGCTGTCATTATCAGCATCTTCATTGTAATCCTTGCAAATTGAGGAAGAGGATGGCAAGCTCTTTAACACTAGTGAAATGGGCCGAGTGACTGAAACAAAATTTATAATCTGAATTCTCAAGGAGTTAGGGTAGGCTTTTAGGTGGTGTTTAATGTAGACAGAGAGCACATGGGGTTTTATTTGCTGTGCAAAAAAGGTAAAAGCTAATTGTGTTCACCATTCTTTTCTAAATATTATCAAAGAATGAAAACTTGCAATTTACTAAAAGCAAAATCATAAAAGCTACTTAAATAACCAGTTATTCATACAACTGTGTAATTAATTGTGAATTGTTTTCCTGCTAGGACATCAGTTTTTAAAAAGCTCACAAAACTGTTGTAGTCCTTGTGGGAAACTGTGTATGAGATTTGCTTGGGGAAAGCGAGGTCTGTGTCTCCAGTAACTATGTGATGGGTGGCGCCCCCTGGTGTGCAGTCAAAGCTTGGCAGTGCAGTGTTTGAATTCTGCTGCACCTGTCTTCCAGTTGACCCGTTGAGATCAGCAGAATTAAAGACTTCATCAAATGCAAATATTTCCCTTCGTATTTCAAGGAAACAAGCTATTTTTTTTACTTTCTCTTCTATCAGGTTATTTTAACACTTTTGAAAATTATTTTAATTTGGTTTATCTTCCATATCTGTGATAAACATCCTCATTAAACTGGAACACATTTTGTGTTGTGATTCTTGTCTGTGAGGAGTATCTGATGTTCATTGACTCTGTAATCTGAGTTCTCATCAGTCATCCACCTTTACAGCTTAACTGCTGTATTTATTATAACCAACTCCCTATCTTGAGGGTACTCCTGTTACAACAGCCAAAAGGAAATTTTATTTGAATGTCTTTTGTCACTTTAAATACAAGGTCTTCTTCCTACCTAAAACTATACCTGCATCCTACTTAAGTTATTTTCACCAATAGTGCTTCCTTTCTACTGATCAAATAGAACCAGGAATCTTGCCGTCTTCAAACCTGCCCGTTTCCTCACTCATTTTCGATATACAATCAGGCATTGACTTTAAACACCAAATATCTAAATTTAAACATCTAAATCTTCACATTTTAAGCAAAGTAGACCTCATACACTTTGCTAGGGATTGGTAAAAAGCAAATACATAAGTATCAAAATGCTGCTGTTTCCCATTATTCAGTTGTCTTCTGCTCAGTGTTCTGGCCTAAAAACAGAATAAACCAATTAAGTCCTGGAATAGCATTAGTTTATAGTAAACAGGAAGAAAAACACTTTGTGGTAAGTGCAAAGCACACACTTGCATTAATGTTACAGTGTTTTCTCCACACATACATATATAAATTATACCCTTTCACATCAAATACCATAGAGATTCAAATTCAAATTGCTTTGTCAAATGCATAGAATAATTCACAATGTTTTGGAAAAATTAATAAGTTGCATTTTATCCAAATCTCTTTAACCCCATGTCATAATCCATTCCTTGTTTACATATTTTTTTTGTTTTTAATTTTCAGATGTAACATTTATTCATGAAGGAAATAAAACATTCTTGGATAATCTTGTCAATTTTGAAAAGCTGGTATGTAAATTCTATTATTTCTCCTATTCCCCAATAGAAGGAAAATGTGTGCTTTTTGTTGCTGCATCAGGAAACAAATGGTTTAAGTACTTTCCTCCTTGAATGCATGGGGTTGTCATGGGTTACTGCATGTTGTACATTGTCAATAAAGTATATTCCAATGTCAGTGTGTTAGCAAGGCTTGCAAACCAAATATGGAAATTGGCCTTTCATTTTTGAATATGAAACTTCATTAGATAATATCAATAGTTGAATGTATATTGTTGAACCAGAAATAAAGCTGTAAGATTCCTGTCAGAACAGATTCACAATTGTGGCATTAAGTTTTACTACTTTTAGGGGTTCTCTCTCTGTCTTGGTGTGTGCTGCTACCAAGGGCCAAGGTAAGCTCTCATTCTGGGAAGATAAGTCCCTCCCTAGGTACTCCCAACTTGGATATGAATCTGGAACTTGTAGGGTCCTCATGTGAGGAAGGATCAGGCTTATCAATCTGTAGACCAATGGCACCATTTCTGAGCACAGTGCAAAGTGCCTTCTGCATCCATAAGACAACTCCACCTGTCCTTTCCTGCCAGATACTGAAATGCCTTTTCTGAAATTTCAGCCAGTAGCTTCTCAGGGAATCAGTCATGCAATGGGGCTGCTCCTAGCCTTTCTGACTGACTATACTTATGAGAACTGAGGAGTGTTCAAAAAGACTGTTGACTAGGAGAGGAATGGATTCGACTGACAGGTGAAATTTGGTGTCAGATATTAGACTGTCCTTTATGGCTAAAGAGGATACCAGTGACCCCTGTCCAAAGATCCTGCCTTTTGAATGGCCTTCTCAGTAATGGTAGTGGATTTGTGTGATTCTTTTCGGAACTGAACCCTGGTTCCCTGTGAGACTGGATCAAGTATTTGAAGGAAAGTTGAGTGCCACAAACTGATGAGTCCCAACCAGGCTTGGCATCTGACCTTTGCCTTATAAAATACACTGCTCTAACTGCCAGGTTAACTCCCCACACATAGGATGAGGCAGCAAAGGACTCATGTAATAAACTTCTGTACAACTTGAAAACCTAAGAACCTGGAATATGGAAGAAACCATGGAATATCTTGTCATCACTGTGATAATCATTTCAAAATGGTCACTTCATGGTGCTTATTTTTTAATTGGATATGTCTGTACCTTCTCAAGTCTTACACTGCAGTAAATACTTGGGATTCGGGGTGCAATTACTTTAAATACTATTGCAAAACTGAAAATTTTTAAAAAAGAGTATTTTAGATACCATGGTTAAATCAACAGAACCAGAAGTAGATAAACAGTTGGTCTTTTGTATTTGCTCTTCAGAGATTTTTCTGTTTTGCTGTGATGTTCTAGAAATCGCAGAGCACCTACATGCAACCAAGGTTCTAGGGTCTTGACAGGTTAAGCTCCAGTGTTTGGGGTCAGTGAAATGGTTGCAGGAGTATAAAGGTTTTGGTCAATTTTTACTTCACTTTCTGGGCAACATAGCTGGTTTTGAACACCAAATAAGCTTGGGAGAGCATATGCAAAGAGGTGGGATGAGGTGTGTCACTCCAAGTGAAATTCTCTTGAAAGTTCTGGTAACTTTCCCTATGACTAATATAGGGGGACAGGAAAGAACAATTGATTTCCTATAATTTGATTGTTATCTATTGTTATTGCAAACTGGTGACTGACCTTCTGCCTCAATTGAGCCACTGACTTGGTTTAGAGCATTGTGTCATTTCCCCTCAGATAGTGCTAGCAAAGTCAGAAAACAATTCCATAAGGCACAAATGAGAACAAGCTATGGGAAGGGCCCAATATCCCTCCCCTCTTTCATTCTGACCAGCATCTCTGGTCTCCCCTGCTTTCTTCAACATCCTGAGGAAGCTTTTCAATGCCAGCTATTGTATTCTAGAGTCTGGCTTTCATATGTGTTAAGACTTCAGACTACCCTGAGTAGCTGAAGCAAAGAAAGTCTAAATAACAGTCCTCCTGTTAAGGTCAATAACTATCTATACTCGTAATCTTTTTGTTTTTTTTTTTTAAGATTTATTTACTTATGCATACAGAACTGGAGTACAGGCCAGAGGTGCAGGGGTGGTGAGAGGATTCACCAGAGACAGAGAGGGGAGCAGAACAGGCAGATCAATGAAGTACACTGCTGAGGGAATATACTCATAATCTTTAAGAATGGCAGGAATAACATTCTATGTAAAAATTTTCGTTACTCAAACAACTTTTTTCCAAACACAGTGACGACCAGTGCAGTGGTGCAGCACACAGCCAGCGCTGTCTGCGCCCGCCACGCCTGTGCCGGTGCACGCACCCCCGTGCCTGTTAGACGCTTGCTAGCACATTAGTTCTAGAGACAGTAGACTTTGTACATTGTGACTTCCTGGTCCCCGAAGCTCAGAGCACATAGCATACCTCATACTGGTTCCCTGCTTGCATGGGGGAAGACTGGGCGAGGTTAGAATTTTTTCTGAAAGGACAAAAACCAATTTAATCACCTCACAGAGGTCTGTGAATACTTGGGTGCCAGAGAAGAAACAATTTCCCAGTGCTGTCCGTACTTTCAAGGAGTGTTTCACAGCAAAGGACAGGGTTTCACTTAAGCTAAAACAGGATCATCTTTCACAATAATGAACCAATAGAACCCAAATGAATTAACTTGTGAGAAGCCAATTCCTCATGATGGATATTAGCTCAAGCCAGCTAGCAGATAATTCAGTGTATTATCTTTATCTGGCTGATACAGACCAACACATTAAGTCAGATGAGACCCAGGAGCGCTCATTGCATCTAATAAGATTTCCATTGTTCCCTGTGCTGCCTCAGCAGCTCTAAATGTTTCCTTTTCACACTGTTAAATAATGGAGAAATAAATGCTTTCTCTTTTTCTTCTCTTTGTCCTCGAATATTAAAAACATCACTTTGACCATATCTTCCTCTTGCTTAAAGATGAGGATCAAGATTCAGGCTTCAGTGCCACAGTCAGTCCTGAACCTTGCATGAGCTACGCAAATGGCCCATGATAGAAATTAGTCCGGCGCCCATGACCTAAAATGATGAGAGAACTGTCCTGGGAATAGTGGGAAATTTGGGGGAAGGAAATACAACAATACAGTCACAGACACGAGTCAGTTCTCATTTCCTTTACAAACGCAACACAAGCTGCTGCTCTAATCACTGTCCTATTTAATTTTCCACTATCAAGTAGAAATACCTTAGCAGTACAATTGTGAGAGCAGTTGCATAAGTAGGTCACGTTCATATAATGTTTCTGTCATTGTGCTGGATTTTATGTAGAAAAAAATCCAGCAAAATACAGGGTTTCATGTTAACATTATTCTTCTAGCAGCAATTCAGTGAGGTTTGCTCTGTGTAGATGATCCTATGTTAAGAGTGTACATCCAGGATATTGCAGTTGGTAACCCAGCTGGGAGGTGTGAAGTACCCAGTAATGAATAATGTTGATTCTTGAACAATAGGATGATGCCCACAATTTGATATGAAACAATGTACGGAGCTAGAACATGACAACAGTGTTGGAAATTATTCTGGCAACTGTAAGAGGAACTCTGATAGGAGATGGACTCATCCTAAATTCTGTCTTTCCTTTGCTATGGAAACTAAAATGCTAGAACTGGAAATCTGTTACAAGTACATAGGTGTGAGGTGAGATTTTGTCAAATGCAGTTTTATGTTCAGATTCTTAACTGGAAGGCAATGAGCACTTTAAGGAAATAAATCAACATTGAATACTGAATACAATAGGAAAAAAAGGAAATTATAAGCAGAGAACAGTCTCTGTAAAGATACTATTGTTTTTGAAAGTATCTGTATTTCATAAATATCTCATTTCTTGTCATTATTTGAGATACCACGAAAATTCCTATCTCTATTCACCAAGCATGTATGAGTCTCTATGTGTGTGAGCATGCAAAGCCCTCCATGATAGCTGGGCTGGTAGAAGGGAAAAGTCCTACGGTAATTATAACTTCAGGTATATTGTAAACCTGCCTGCCCCCCCCCAAAAAAAAAAGAGAGAGAGAGAGAGAGAGAAGGTTGAGAAAGGAGCCTCCCAAGTACAAAATGCCACCTCAGAAAAGTGTCGTGAAGAACAGAAACATCCCCTGAAGTGAAAAGCATAAGTAAATTTGGACAAGTGGGTTGGGGGTAGGTGTTTTCCTAGACCTCTGTTAGCATGTATGGCTTGGGAACCACAGATAAGGGCTAAATATATTTTTGTAATCCAAGCTCAACAGCATCAGTTCAAAGTAGGTCTAGCACCAGTATAGCTCTTCTATCTACTCACAGAGGTGTTAGACTGCGCCACATCTTAGCGGGCTTCTCTACGTCAGCTGCACCCTAAGTGGCCTTTCCAGTGATGTATTCTTGTTTTGCCTTCCAGCATATGATTGCAGACACTGTCCGAACCCTGAGACACTGCAGGACTAACCAGCTTGGTGAGTAATTGAAGCTGGGTGCAGAAGTCAGTGCACTATACATGGATATAGTCTATGACCCTATCATAAGTATTTGGTGGTAATAACTTAAGCAGAGTTAAAATAGAATATGCATAGTTTATCTATCCTGCATCCTCTCTTTGTTTCATCACTGCATGTTTGGGATGCAGAAGACATGATGTGGCAGTTTTTTATCCTCTCAGGCAGCAAGTTCACACTGTATAGAGTTGTAGAGAGTGCCTGTTGACTCTAGAAGGTTATGGCTGGTCTGGCTGCCGTGGTCAGAAGCTGTCCTACCCGTGGGCCAGAAAGTCTCATTTGTTTGCCCAGAAGCTCAAAATTAACATTGCATTCTCAAGCTTACCCCATCCTTGGCCTTCTTGCTTTGACTCTCCCTGGAATGGGAATCTAGCTTACGAAAGTATACCTAAAGCAGCCTTCCAGAGTCTTCCCTCCTTTCCAACAAAAACTTCCTCTCTGGAGCTGCCCTTGAATGAAAATATCTTCCTCTGAACACTTTCGCAGACTCCCCACTGTGACTGAGAGATGTAGGACTATTTGCTCCTTTTTAAATCTCAGGTGTGATTTACACTGTGTTTAAATGGTATTAAAACATTGCAGGAAGGAAGGAAATCAGCTTTATGGAGTCAAGGAGCTTTCACAGGGGCAAAGGAATCCTGGTATCAGTAGAGGCAAAGGAAATGTTAACCCTGTGGGTGCAGGCTAGAAAACAGGCTCAAGAGATTAACTCATATCACCATGACAGGCGTTCCCACAATCCAAAAGTAGAGTGTTCCTATGAAACCCTTGTAAGCTGGAATCAACCTAAAGCAAAGAAGCCTCTACCAATAATTTATATGGAAAAATTTGTGAATGTTCCCAGAACCAAAGTTTTCCACCAAATTATACCAAATAATACATAAAACCGAAAATATCGTTAACAAATAGAAAAGGCAGGAATGTGGTGATGAACATACAGGCTGTATGAAGTCACTCGGGGAAAGGGCTTATGGGCCTCCCTGCCTGGGGTGCCTTCTCCTCCCCCTCCATGGCTCTAAAACAACTGCTGCATAGCTGCTGCAGAATGCTACTTTCACTTTTTACCTTTTGCCCTAAAAGTCAAAATTCTCTTTGGATTTCTTATAGTTACAGAAAACAGGTACCCATATAGGTCTTTCAGAAAAGTGAAATAGCCTAGGGCCCTGTGAGGTGGCACAGTGAGTCAAAGCACAGCACTGTGAAGCTATTGCAACCACTGCAGCAGGAGTTCAACCCCGAGCTGGGGTGGGGGGGGACCACATGGCGCATCAGACCTCTCCTAAGGTCTGCTCCCCTCAAAGTACTTCGTCGATCTGCCTATTCTTTTCTGCTCCCCTCTCTGTGTCTCTGGTGAATCCTCTCACCACCCCAACTTCTGACCTGTACCCCAGTTCTGTCTTCATAAATAAATAAATCTTTAAAAATAAATAAATAAAAGTTTTAAAAGTGAAATAGCATAAAGAAAACTTCGGAAAAGCAGGAGGATGCCTATACTCAGATGCAAGCTACCAAGCTTCCTGGCCTATCCCCCTTTCCTTTGCTTTGTGCAGATGCTACAGGTATAAAGGACAATAAAAAAATAGAAAGCTGGGCCCTCCCTGGTGGCGCAGCGGGTTAAAGCACAGCACTGAAAAATCTAAAGCCGCTTCCGCATGAGTTCGATTCCCGCCTTCCCCGGAGGACATGGCGTGGCAGACCTCTCCTGACCCGCCCGCTGCTCCCCTCAGCAGTGTACTACATAGATCTGCCTGTTCTGCTCCCCGCTCTGTCTCTGGTGAAGCCTCTCACCATCCCCGAGCCTCTGGCCTGTACCCCAGTTCTGTATGCACAAATAAATAAATCTTTAAAAAAAAATAGAAAGCTAAATTCAATAATTGTAAATCAATGGTGACCACTAAAATGTAAAGTAACATATCCTCTTACTGTAAATTTTTTTTTTCACCAATTCAGAAGTATATACTTGTGAACGAGAAAAATCAAGTCCTTCCTCCTAAGGAAAATACCAGTAGATCTTGGTGCATATTTTTTTTTATTACAAAGTTTATTTTTACATCATTTTGCACATTTTTTTTTCCATCTCGATTGTAATCCCCGCGGGTTTCCCATCACCAGATCACCCCTGTGCCACCACCACAGTCCCATGCATTTCCCTCCCTTACCCCCCCCCCATTTTTGATCCCATTCCCCACTCCACCCCCACAGAATGTCTCTGGTATTTGGTTGTTCATTATTTTTGTTATTTTCTCGATTGGTCCATTATACTCCTGCTATGAGTGAAACCATCCGGTATTTTTCTTTCTCTTTCTGGCTAATCTCACTAAGCATGATCTTTTCCAGCTCCATCCAAGTTGCTGCAAAAGACATGTGTTTCTCTTTTTGGTTGCTGAGTAATATTCCATTGTATATATGTACCACATCTTTCTAATCCAGTCATCTACTTTTGGGCATTTGGGCTGCTTCCATTTGGTGCATATTTTTAAGAAATTTCTTCTGTCCTTGTTGTTGGTGTTGACTATCGATATTATCCCCTAACAAAGTAACTGAACTTCTATATGTACTGCAAAGTTTCTGTTTGAAAGCGATAATTAGAAGTATTTTTAAATATTCACATCAATTAATACCAGTTAATATGTCCTTATGTAAGTTTTCATTTGTTTCACAAGTACTACACGGTTATGAAAGAAACAGCACTAATATCATGGAGATAACACTAAAATGGACAAGCATAATGTTGCTGATGAGTATTCAGTTTATATTTCTTTCATCTTCCTTTGCCTCTTCAATTTTTTAAGTGCTCACTAATTCTGAGGCATTGGTCTCACTATCAAGGGACACTGGCTTAAATACACTACAAGTGTGTACAGAAATTTCTATTGGCTCGATTGACCCTGCCTTGAACCTCCCACCAGCAGAGAGTGAGTCTGCAGAGTGCAAAGTGAAGGAGAAATTTAAATACCTATCAAGGCACTTTGTGTACTGTATGTATGTATCTTGAAAAATCCACGTAGAGACTGAATTCTTTAAATTCATTTTGACAGTTTATATAGGTATAGTAAATCAGTAACACCATTTGGGATATATTTAGTTAATGCTAATCAAGCCACTGATAAATCATAAAATGCCATGCAGGTGTCAGTTTTCATGGTTTAATACCCATCTTTTTAAGTCTGGCTATTAACAACAAAATTACCTTTGCAGAATCTTTTTTCTAAACCAATAGTTAGTAAACCAAAAGCAGTCTCTTGTTGACTTCCTAGTTAGGTATTCGAGAATACAACTTTTGAGTCACTTCCAAATAAACGGAATGGTAAAACCTTTAGCTCTTGATACTTTTACTTATTGAAACCAGGAAGCCTTGTTTCTGTTAAGGTTCAGAATGACCAGCCACCATGACATACAGACCTTAAATTATTTCCTGACAAAATGGACTTGTCAGAGAAACTAAAAACAGATTTTCACCAAGAAAAAAAAAATAGCCACATTAAACTGCCAGCCTCCTGCTGGCCCCTTCCTTCTGCTCAACCTGAACTCAGCACATATAATGCTTTCTCCCACCTGAAACTCCAAGAAGCAAAAGGACATGATGTCACCATCAGTCACATTGTCCAGGCTGCTTTATCCAGTTCCTTATCAGACTTGTCACCAGCATTCCCAGTGCATTAAAACCTCTTGTGGCCCTTCGGTTCTTTAGCCAGGACTTGAGAGTGGAAAACCCCCTTGCCTCATCCTTCACTGGCCAGATGTTTCCATCCACACAATCTCTGAACCTGCTTTGCCCATTAGCCACATGTGAAGTTCACTTCTGTAAAACCCAATCAATAGATTCCTTATCTTTTTTTCCCCAAAAATAAGAACACCAAAGGATGATACAAAATCTGAAAAAAGAAAAGAAAAACCTACTATGTGTTTGTGCACTCATAGGTTAGAATGATTTCTGACAAGTCCAGATTGAGAGATGAGTCAGCAAAAGCCACTGAAACAGACAGCTGTTGTACCCAGGAGTGTGACACAGGAGCTCAGACCAAGGAGCCAGAGCCCCATGTCTGGGCCCCAGAGCTGCTCTGCCGCATGCTGTGTGCCTGTGTTGTCTCCCATCCCCTTAAGGGGGGATGACAGCAATTGCTCATACTCTATAATGTTAGATAATTAACACTATTTAAATGTTTGTGAAACAAGTCCCTTGCCAGCCTAATTACCTAACCTGAAGAATCTACTCTTGAACTGAGAAAGCATCTTCACAGTTAGGATAAAGACATCCCTTCTAGAATCCTGACTTAGGGCTGTCTCCTACTAGATTTACTCTACGCCTTAAAGTGGGGTTTGCCTGGTAGTTAGAGCTACAGTTACTGTTCTCATGCGATTGACTGGCTTTTTTCCTCCAAACAATAGGAGGTGACATGTCTTCAAAAGAGCACCAAGAGTTAAAATCCTACGTTAATCACCTGTACGTGATTGACAACCAGCAGGCCCTGTTTGAGCTCTCACACAGGATCGAGCCTCGAGCGTGAGCCCCATCACCCCACTTCATCACCTCGCCTCCCCTGTAACTGCAGCACTTTGAGCTACAGGAATGTCAATGCCAAACACGGTGCTTTCCTGTGAGACAAGAAGTTTCTGAGTTTTATCAGTAGATTGCAAGACAGATACAGGAAAGCCACCCAAAGCGTGCTCAGAGGTGTGCCAGTCACCAGAGAAGGAAGAGACCTCTCTCCATGATGCTCTCACACGGAGGCAGAGGAAGAGCCAGGAGCATTTTTGAAATGGAGAAGACTGGTTTCTCGTGGTCCTGCTGTTGATCCAGTCCAATTTTAAATTTGAGTTGTTCGGTGTCAAGACAATAGACATGTCTTGTATTTCGCTAAGAGCATGTATGTGAAGCAGCCAGGGGCTCAACTTTGCCTGTCAGTAATTTACAGTTATCTGACTGTCAAAGTAGTTCGTTTGAACATCCAAGGAGAGTGATGGCATCTCTAGATTTCCAGGGAGCAGAAGAGGTCTCTGTTGATAAAAACTACGACATCACCCACAGCTGCTTGTGTCAAGGGAGCAAGTGAGACCAGCAGCTGGCATCCCTGCTGTGATTTCCAGAAGAAAAATGTCAAGTCATGCATTCCTTTGCATCCACAATCATGTATTGATGTATGCTTGCAGGTGAAATTCATTTCTGCACAACTGATTTACAACTAAGCAAGTTAGACTAAATTGCTTTGCCAATAAGGAAAAATAGTAATCTTTAAAGAAATGAACTTATTTAATTTCTGGGGATTTTCTCTACAGGTACAAGCAGGCTCTCAACTCTTACTGGGATCAATATGATTTTCAAAAAAGCACAGTGCCTGACACATTGTTGGCACTCAGTAACTACTTACTGAGGTGGCAGAGCCAGAAAGGTCTGTGTTCTTGTGCCTCTGATGCCCTAGAGCTTTGCATGCCTCGGACAGGCTTGTGTTGCCCATGCTCTGAAATGGGAACAGCCAGCTTGGAGAGGCTGAGTGGATTTGGTGTCTGAAACCCCTAGGACTCCCCTAGAGAAAAGCACGGTATTAATATAGAGGTGATTACCCATTTCTTCAGGTGAAGACCACCAAAATATCCAAATGGCTGATTTATGCTGGACCCTTAAAAATTTATGCTGACCTCCCCACCAAAACAGTGGTCTTTCTATAATTTGTCTCCCCCCCCCATCCTTTTTTTCATTGGCACTCCTACAATACATTAAACCTCTTGCTATTCTCAAGGACCGATTAGAAGATGACAATTTCCCTCAACTTTCAAATGAACAAAAAGCCTGCAGGCTATAATATGATACCTTCGTGCTCCTGTCAGCTAGATAGTTACCACGTCGCCAAGAGCCAGAAGCCTGGCTTCATGGAGTGGGCCCATCCACCTCCCTCACATGTGAGCCCTCTTCCCTTCTTCCCACACCTGCCTGCTCATCCCTCAGACGCCTGTCCCAAATTGCTTCATTTTTTATCTCATCCACACCTGATTACTGAGAGGTGCATGATGTTTTCTGACACCTTTGTAGCCATGTTCTTGCCTCACCTCATGAGCCACGTGGGAGAAGACTTCAAAGACTCGGTCTGTTCCAGCATGTAAACCTTCAGTCCTGAAAATTAACCGGGTTTTTATATTATAGAAAACACCATCCAGAATGGGTCCACTCAGAAATACCCAGACTGCTTGGCATGGGAGAGAGCAAAGCCAGTCAGAAGCAAGGAAAACTCACTTGACTCTCTCATGCTGTTCAACCCCAAGCCGGGGACAGCTTTTCCCCTGGCAGCTGCTGTCGGTGGTTCTAGGAGATACCACTTGGCCGGCCTCATTATGAACGGTGGTGTGACATGAGGTTTCTGTTTGGCAACTTAAATATTTTTCACATCAGATCTGCACTGCTCCAACTAAAACTATTTCACTTGCTCTCGTGGATAACTATTTCTCCATAGCATCCAGTTCAGGTATGTACACAGCCAAACAAAACCAAAACCACATCATTTCAAAATATAGTTGAAACAGTGTGGGTGAAGGCAGGCTCCAGAAGTGGCCACCACTGCCTCTAGCTGCAGTCACAGAGCTCTCGGCAGCCAAGAGACAGGGATTTTGTTTCGTTTATATTTTGCTTTCTCATCCCTGTCTTCTGAATGTCAAAATCCCCAAATCTTTGTGAAATTTACCAGCTGTCTCCAGAGATTTCCCAGGCAGCAGTTCTAAGAAAATTCAACAACTTCGAGAAGACTTAAATACGAAGTAAAAGAATTCAAGGCAGAAATGTGGGAACCAGACTTAGCTCAAGACAAAGCCCTTTCTAGGGAATCTGAACTGCCCAAGAGTGAACACACTGTGGGCTATCAGTGACCCTTCAGTCAGTATTTCCCCTGCCAGGAGGCTGGGCCATCTTTTCTCTCCAAATGTTTGCCAAGGCCTCTTGGGAGTGGGTTTTGTTCTGGCCAAAAAAGTAGCCCAGAAGACATGTAAACTTCCTCCCTACATTCAGAAAATCTCCTGTCATACCACCTCACCAGTGAGTAGTGCACAATCTCTTGAAAGTGCGCTCTCTTCACCGTAGCACAAGGCTCAGGCAGTCCTGCTTGTCTGTTTTTGGTCCATCAGCATTCCAGCATACCAGGCCTGTTTAGCAGTCAGCATGGGACCCATTCCTGTAGGCAAAATGCAACCCTCCCCAATTTTTTTTTTAATCTCCTATATACACTTTCAGATGCTCCCACTGCTATCGTGTTTTACATTCAATTTTTATTACAGTCTGTACAGTTGCCAAATAGCTGTAATGATAAATACTATGGTCTACCTTCATTTTATTCTAGTACCACTAATTGGACTTAGGATAACCCCATTTCCCTAGACTCCTGCCCACCAACAGGTCAGCTGGAACACACATTGCTTTCAGAAGCAAGAGGAGAAAGTAAAATCTCACCACCACCCCCAAATTCATAGGGAGAAGTTGCTGCCCCAGTGCAAACTGACCTCCAAGCTGCGCAGAGAGGAAGGTGCCGGTGACTTCCGGTCCCTGGAGCTGAGCTCTTGCAGCTGTCCAGCCCCAGCCCTGTCACTTTGTCACAGGTCTCACAGACACCACAGACTGTAAGCTCAGTGTTCCACGTGCACAGTATCCACTCTGCACAGAAACTAGACAAAAACATTAAAATGGGGAAGGGCAGACCCATTGAAGTTGTCTACCGTGAAGTTTCTTTTAAATGCTTCAAAGACATGTCCTTAAAATTTCAGCCTGCTTATTAACAAGTGGGCCATTTGTGCTGAAAACTGGTAAAGGAAAAACGTTTTTTAAAATTGCCAAAAAGTTAGATGAAAAGTACTTCTGTATAAAGCAAAGCTGTATATACTAAATGTTTTTTAGCAGAGTAATATTTATTTGCATAGCCTATTTATTGTATTCGTAATACACTGTTATTAAATACTGGGATGAAATCAACAACCTGAAGCAAGGCCTTCTTGCCTTTTAACGTGTCATTAATTGGGGCTGCTGTGACATTGTCGGCTTGCGTTAACAATTAGAAGACAGAAAACCCACAATCAGGGTGTCTACCTAATTCTCAGGGACTACACTTTGTAGTTTTCCACCATTCTAAGAGCTGGTAAATATGAAACCTTGGTTGAATTACCAGAATTGCCATTAACAGTGTTTTCTCTCTCATATCTCATGCTTTCTGCCTCTGTACATACGACAGTGCTGTGTATTTATCGATGCTAGTAAGCAATAATTTATATGTAAAAATGGCCAAGCAATAGAAGGTGAAAACTTACATAAGTCACTGTTACCTTACCTTGTATTTTCAAGTGTTTTTTTAAAAACTGCTTTTCCAAATACAAGATTATGTCAGATACTCTGCCTGCCTCTTGGCCTCCTGCTTCGCGGTGGCGGGTGCAGGCTGCATCGCCTGTGTCCAGCATGTGTTAGCGCGATTGTTTGGGCCTCAGGAGTCACTTGCTAAGGCCACAAGGGCGGGCGAGCACCTCTGGCAGACGTGGGGGTCTGTCACCTGAGGCACCACAGACGTAAACACCACACTGAGAAGCACACTCCGAATTTGGGTATTCTAGTCACCCCTGTGGCCCCTCCTTGCCTGGAGTCGGGCCTGAGACCCCTTTCCTTAGCAGTGTGTACTGAGGGCGCTCCCAGCTGGGGTACGATGCCCTGCACTTGAAGGAGAGGCCCTGTCTGGAGAAGCACAGTCTGTGCACTATGACTGTCACCCTACCAAGCCGCTTCCACCTGTCCCTGGAGTGGGTGACTTATGTCCTTCCCAGCACTCCCCACCCTGGTCTCTGCTGTGTGGCCATCCTTCCCTGCATGGGACTTCTGTATCACAAGCGGCCAACTAGCTGGCTCTATCCAATGAAAACGGGGTGTGGAGGAAGCAGTGGCCTGTGTATCTTGTATCCCAAAGCTCTGCCAGGTGGGCTGTACCTGCCATGTCTGCTGAGACACCTGCAGTGTTCCAGGTAAAGGTGCCCCCTGCTGTCTGGGTCTCACGCTTACGCCAGACACATTCCTTAAAGAACCAAAACACCGTCGTTAGAAACTGCTGAGACTTGGAAGCAGTTTGTTACCTCAGCATAATTTAGCCTAGGTTGACAAATAGTCTCCCAGGAATGATAAACTGGATGAACTGCCCTTTGCCTTGGTCCATGCGTGGGCAGATGTATCGGTACCTGATGAATGAAAACACCTGCTGTCCATAGCCACACACAAGGCTTGTCTTTATGGGGAAAGGTCAAGAAGCCAGGATGATTTCTTGGGCTCAGTCTCCAGGAAGTGACATCTTTGTGAAATAAGAGAAAACAGGAAGAGAGAGCACACAGAGGTCATTGCCTTGAGGACAGGCAGTGAGGAGGAGGGGGAGGACCACCATCCCTACTGATTTTGTCCTGGTCCCATGAGCACTATGTCCTTGGGACAGGCTCACAGTCTGCAGCAAGCGATCAGGAGGAGAAAGGAAGCCCTCGGCTCCCTTTGACAAGAAAGGAAACTTCCCAGTGCACAAACTATTTGGGTCTTCTACGTGGGGATGGCCAGTATTGAGATGCATGAAAGTCCCTCATACAAGTCCACCAGCTGCTCCCATCCCACTTCCATCTATGAATTCAGATCCTTGCTCTCTTAACTTCAGCCATTGCAATAGCCTTCCATCTAGTCTCCCTGCTGCTAGTCTACATTTCTCCCCATGTAATCTCCAAATCGCCCTCAAAATTTTTTTTTGTTTCCTAAAACATAAATCTAATCGTGTATTACTTCAGTGGAAAAAGAAGTCCTTCAGTAAGTGCCTCCCAGGCTCTAAAACCAAACTTAAGATGCATACAAGGTCTTCCCTGCATTTGCCTGTCCAGAACCAAAGCAATCAGGCAGCTGCCCCCAGGAGAATCATACCTGCGGGTTAATCGATTCCTACTAATGGAAAAATGCATGTTGACAATAACGTGCATCAAACATTTGCTGAGTAACTGTGAGCCTCATTTGCTCCTTTTAAGGTGTTCAATTTTGAAGCCAGACTGATGAGGATACACAGCGCTGTGTGTGAATGTGTGAGTTTGGGGCAGAGGAGTCCAGCCCTCCAGAATTGCCTGAAGTTAATGAGGGCTTCTCCCAGAGGAGTGCAGACAGCCCTGAGCTCCCCAGCAATGCAGTGGCCTGGGAGGGGCTGTGCAGGACACCTGGTTTCCCTCCCAAGCCCTGGAAGAAAGCAGTTGTAGATCTGTGATTGCCAGGACTAATTCGTTTACTTTTGTTTTTTTAAGGAAGTGACTTGGCTGATAAGGGAATAAGAACTGTTCGTGCTCCTTTGTATGTAGTTAACCCGGGCTTGGCCTCAGAGCAGGAAGGGAAAAGGCAGTGGGCAGGGCCGGAAGGGAGCACCTCACCCCTTCCCTGTCCTGTGCAGGCTGCTGACTCCACAGTCCTGCCGGAGTGGAATGTGTGTGATAAACAACCAAATAAAGCCCCTGGAGTGGCACAGCAGGGCCTGCCTCCAAGTACCAAGCCAGCTGCTCCCTCCCAAGGGAGGGTGCACAGCAAGGGTCAGCTCTATCAGTCTGCTGTCACAGTGTGTTGGCTCCAGCCATCTGGCCGCACCAGCTTCCTGCCTGCACCCCGTTCACCGGCCCAGCCAACCTCTTCTTCTCAGACCCCAATAGCTAATGGTTATAGCTGTTCCTACCTGCTAAGCAAGGCTCATCCACTGAAGGCCATCCTGGATGACCCACTAGACACCTGCCCCTCTATCAGGTCCCACCTGTTGCTCTTTGGGGAGCCACTCTGCCTAGTCTTGCTTCCCAGCAAGGAGGAGAACAAGAGTTAACAGGTTAGCCTCTGAGTGCAGATTGCCAGTACAAATTGGGTTCAGGCATTTAAGAGCAAGAATTGGTGATTCTTTCCACCTTGATCTTAGCAGCTGCTACTGCACCTCATAAAACAGGGTTTAAAGTACCTACTACCCTACAGGGTTGTATGAGCAAATCACATGTGTGCCTGAGTCATGGTGGGTAAAACAATTGAAGGTGCTGACAGTGATGGTGTTGATGGCGGTGACGGTAGGGCAATGAATGCTGGGATCATGCCAGAGGCTTCGCACCAAGACTTCCACTCCACTGTGGGTGAGTTGCTTAACTTCTCTTATCAGTTCACTCAGTTGTCAAACATGATCTTTAGTATCCGCTTTGCACCAGGCAGTCTGGAGAACAGTTGCACTGTGTGCACCTGAATGCTCTCTCCATTCCACAGGGAGATACAAGCAAGATATTCTTTGAATCCTTAGGACAAAGCCACAGCCCTCAATGTCTGCTCATCAATCTAAACAAAGTCATCTACATATAGCTGCAAAGTTGGGGTGATGCTAGTATGGATCTTAACAATATGGGGAGCAAAAAGGCTGGTCAGACCTTGAGCCTGTTCACATCTTCCCATCTGGGGTCACAACCTCTGTGACACCCCAGTGAAGCTTCCAGGAGGACTTTTTCTTCCCCTGCCGCTGCCTTCCCTGTTGCCCCACCCTCACCGTCACCCCCACCCCCAGCCTGACTAGGGCCTGGAACTCCAGGCAGCAGCTCCATTCCACAAGCTTTCTGGTGTAACATGGAAACATGATTTCTTTTTATTTTGTGTGTGTGTGAATGTTTTTTTTAATGTAGAATTCTATAACCATTAGCTATTGACATGATTTTTAAAAGGATGGTAAACATTTTGAAATAATCATAAAATTACTTCATACACCAACTCATATTCTTGACACTGTATTCCCTTGAATAAGCAAATGGTCCTCCCCCGATATAAAAGCAGTGCCTTTGCTTCCTCATCTGTGAAATAAATGAGCATTGAATAAATTCATGTAAGTGGTACAATTTAAATAATGACTGGCATTTACCTTTGCTAGATATTTGAAATGATAATGATGAAGACTCTGGGTTTTGAACCAATGCAGGACAGTAATTGCAAGAATCTGACAGAGAAAATCAAGATCAGAATTTTAAAAGCAGATGAAAGATTAATGAGCATCATAATTCCTCACTGAGAAGGGTGAGTGCTTGTTGTACCCTAGTTGTGGCTTCTGATGCTGGAGGAAATTGTCTCTGGTTTTATTTAGAAGTCAGTCGATGCCATCACAAAAGGGCTGGCACCAGACTCTGTGCCCTGGGTTGAGAAGGTCCCTTTGCAAGACAGAAGTGCAGGAGAGGCCAAGAGAATAAAGAACTGTTTATTCTGTGCCTGAGGTTACACTGCCTGGTGTTTTTCTTAAATCAGCCAGCCATTGATAGAGATGATCCAGTTAAACTAAGTCCTCACGGGATGGGCTGTCTGGCATCACTGGGGGCCTTGTAAGTCCAGTATCTTTGGAGATGCACACAGGGAGACCTCCACAGAACAAGGAGATGGCCAGCTCCCAGCCAGGAAGGGAAGCCTGGAACAGATGCCCGCCTCCCCCACCCCCATGGTCTCTTGCATGGGATGAACCCTGCTGATACCTTAATTTCAGATTCCTTGTCCCAGTGGCTGTAAGACAGTGCCTCTCTCTTTTAGTGACTCAGTTGGTGGTACTTTATTATGGCAGCTCTAGCACACTCACAGAGCCTTGCCAGGAGACTTGAGGGGGAGGAGGAGCCAGTCCTGCAAATACCAGAGAAGTGCAACCCAGGCAGAGACCATCAAATGCAAAGTTCCCTAAGGTGCACTGGGAGTTTCTGGACCAATAATGAGCTTGCACGCAGAGACAGCAAGGCAAAAGGAGAGGCAGCAGATGTCACAGAGCCTGGGTGTTGCTTCTAATGCTGAGGAGAAACCCCAGGAAGGTTTGGGCAGAAAATGACATGATTTGTGTTTAAACATCACTCTGGCTGCTGATCAAAGAAGATCAAGGGGGAAGCAGGAAGTTTATTAGAATAATGCAAGAAGAGACCATAGTGGTTTCCTCCAGGTAGTGGCAGTCAGCCGATGTGATGTAGAACAATTCTAGATATATTTGGAAGGTTGGTCTGAGAGCCTTTGCTGGTGGATTAGAGAAAGAGAAAGCAGAATTAAGGTGATTTTCACTTGAGAAACCGAAATAATGAGACTCCCTCTAATTGGAGTGAAAAGACCTTGGAGGCAGCAGATTTGAAGGAGATGGGGTTAACTCAGTTTGGGACTTGTTAGGTTTGGGATATTCAGTGGACGTAACCTGAGTTTCTTGACATCAGCTCTGGCCTGTGCAATAGATACACTACCCCTCCCATTTCTCGGTTTTCGCCAGGGTTAAAGCCAGTGTGTTGTGTTGAACATATTTAAAAGCACAGAACACTCCATGTTTTCCCAAATATGCACCACCCACTAGAGAAACGGAGCTTCTCT